TAGGATTTACTTCAGCTGGCTTGGAAGCATAAACCCTCTTCACCTCATGTAATGCTTTTTCTTCATTGTTCTATAATTATATGAACACATGTGTATATTTTAAAGGAGTTCAGCACGTGTCTGTAATAGAGCACAGATGTTAATGCTGGCAACTCTTATAGTTCAACACATTCTCCCATCACTGCCTGCTTCTCACACTATTTCTAACCTGCTAAACACCAGAGGGGAACAAATTGTCTTTCATTGGCACTGGTCACCATGAACATCCGTGTGGCTGTAATATTAATTTGAGTCAGCCATTCTGCATGGAGTTGGTGATTACCCCAGCTCATTAATGAGTAGGTGAAGAGTAGGGAATACTGCTTCTCCTCCACATTTCACTCGACAGCCCTGACTTTCCCATGCCTGGCAAGGCCAGCATGCAGCCAGCGTTGAACTTCAGCTCAGGTATTGTCAAAAGGATTGCCCCATAAGCATCATGGCATCGTGCCACGACATAAGGACTTTCCTCCAGGTTTGAACCAGCTTGTTTGCTTCACAGGAAATCATATATATTCACAGCTCCTCTGACTTAATAGACACCAGGCAAGTGCCACACACATTACTCTCAACACATATCACGACCATTCAGCTTTCAAGTGCATTAACAACATTCCAATAATCCATTAGGTATCCACCCCAAACAGACTTTGTCACCATGCAAGTAAAGACAGGAAAATGAACAGAAAGGTCAGTTTGAGAATATAAAAGCTTGAATGTCCCACAGTATTACTCTGAGGGCATGGTGAGATAAAAAAAAATTACAGTACCTTGTGCAATGGGGCTTCAGTCCTGACTAGACACCATAGTTATTCAGTACTAATGCCAAAAGAGTAGATTTTTAACATTCCCATTTCCCATCTCCCTCACATTTTCCTATCACTCATGATGTTACAGCATCCAGGACTAGGCATTTCAGCATTTCTTGGAAAGGGTCTGTAGGAGAAAGAGGAACTGGGAACTGGAAATGCATCATGTAAGATGGATAATGTGAACTAATGTACAAAACTAAGCATGGGAGAGGGAAGCCAAGGGAGACATTCTACATTGCTTATAGACTACAAGACTATATAAAATCACAGACAGAAGACCAGCATCTCCCCTGAGGCCACAGGAGAAATATATAATATCTGTGAGATAAATCAGCTTTCACCTAACATAATTCTATGCAAATTCGTTTGTATTTAACTCTGTTCTCTACCAGCAATAAATACAGAAAATAGCTATATATTTGCAAGAAGTATTCAAAACAGGTTTATTTGTTGTAAAGGAGAGGTGGATAGTAAAGTGTCATAGTTTACAGCCATGTGTTTTCAAATAAAGACTAATGTATGCATACCAGCACTAACTTTTACACATTAGTGCCAAAATACTGATTAACTGCAAAGTTATCGTTGCAGTGACACTACAAACAGAGCATAGCCCTTAAAATCAGAGGCTAAAATGACATGCTTTGGACTCCAATGCCATAAGTGGGAAATATGTCAGGACTCTCCCCCCACTGCTACCAAAGATGGTGTTGCTGAGTCCCTAATTCCTGCTTGATTCTAAACAGGGGAATTTGTGTGCCAAGGCCTAGACACATATGTAAATCTTGCAGTCTCATCTTGCTTTCGTGTGAGAACATCTGGGAATTTTATAGGACCTTAATTCAAAGGGTTGAGTTGTGCATATGAACTAACATCCTGTGTCTGATCACTGAGCTAGCAGCAGCGTCACAGTCTCATCCCAAAACCCACTGGGTATCATCAGCGCTAGTCTTGTCAACAATTTATGCGGATTTTAAAACCATCAAAGTGTTTCCCCATTTCTCTGAGAGATCCTTTACAAAACATAAACAAATGCATAGAAAGACAGAGCCATTTCTTTGCATGATTTCACTACAGACATGCTTTTCTTATTAAACTTCAGTGTTATTCTTTGATTGTAGGAGTCTTCTTTCCCAGGAAATCTATGACTAAGCCTGTGTAAATACTCAGCTTGAGGGTCTGCTCATGCGGCTATTGTGGCTGTTCACGGAATTTCTCAGTGGGTATTTGTGTGAATAGCCTCCTAGTCATATGTATAATATATCCTCCCTTCCTTCAGCATCCTCGTCCATCCGTGCGCTTCCAAGTATGCTGGCTAGCCACCTTATTAGCAACAGAAATGGGATTTGGGTGCTGATGAGAATCCACTGGAAACTGCCAATAGCTCCATCGACAGCACTGGAGTTCAGCCACTGCCTCCTAATTCCCATCTTGGGTGGTTATGGACTTGTTGCTTTAGTTGGCCTGGCCCTGCGCACTACAGAGAATTTTTGATTCCACTTAACTTCAGCACACACTAAGGACACTCCGTTATCACTAGATAAGCCCATTATAAAAAGTGTATCTGCTGCTCTCTCTTGCTGGCTCCCACATAAGGCAGGTTCATTTATGTGCAAATTTCTCCAGCGCTGGCTTTCGGAGGGTGACACATGGCAGGCAGATGACGTGCCAGCATTCCCCGCAAGCGGAATTCCCTCCTTCCCTTCCCAGCAAGGCTGCCGCACGCCTGGGGTCTGGCTCTGCAGCCCTGTGCGCTACGGCCAGCCCGAACATCTTGCGACTCCAGCGTGCTCAGGCTCATACCTACACGGTGCAAGGCAAAGCCTTATCAAGAAAGCTAATGTTTCCCAGAACCAAAGAGAAGGGGAGAGGTTTTAGCAGAAATCGCCTGTGGTTCCTATCAGGCCAGCAGTAAACTTGGGTTGTTTATTGGATCCCAAACTTTCTTTGCATGTACACAGGAAAACAGATGCTTCCCACTCCCAGCCCCACATCCAAGGCAGGCTCCCTCAGCAAAACCCCCAGGTAGGACACACAGATGGGACAACCAGAGATGCTTCCTGCCCTGGGCTGCTCTGAGCTGGCGATGGAGCCCTGTCTCCGCAGCACATTTCTCTGGCCACCTTGCCAGGGTATCGCACACAACCTGTAGCTTGCTCTTCCTGTGGGTAGGGAACAGCGAGCCCCCTTCGTTCACGAGCAGGGAACGGAGGCTCGGCTTAGCAAGTGCTTAGGCTCGAACAATGTGCGCGGGGCACGGGTGACAGAGCCGGGAAGCGAGCCAGGTCTCCCAGATCCTAAGCAGGTGCCCCGACTCCTAGGCTGCCTTTCATCTTTCAGCATTAAAGGCCTGGCACCTGGCATGGCCCTTCCATAGCCCCATCTTTCCTTCCGCAGCCCTATCTTCAGTCTGCCTCAGGTGCTGCCCTCCTTTTGGCTCACTTATGCCAGTAGGAAATTAAGTTTCAAGCTCTTAGGATGAATTAAAGAGGGGAAGGGGAAGTTGAGGAGATACTCACATGCCTGGATACATGCTTCTCTTAACTATTGAGCTTTAGGACAGCCACCTATCACAGTTTCTTGCCTCTTCCTCTGAAACAGTGGGTGCTGGTTGCTGCCTGCACCCGCACTGTGGCATATTGCAGCCAAGGGTGCCATCCTGCTGTCTGAAGAGGATGCTTAACTCTCCGCCAGAAGAAGGTCCTCGTGAGTGACACTGGTTGTTTGAGAACATGCTGCACTGTTTCCCTCTCCTTTGACATTTCTTTACATAAGCAGCTGAATAGCAAAACATTTCAGCATTCATTACTGATTTTGTTATTTATAGCAAGCTGCCACAGATGGAGACAACAGCATGGTTCTATCTTTAGGGCGTAGCGCCTGCCTGTCCATACAGACAATTGGTAATTAGCACAAGAACAATTTGTTTATCTATTCTCAAACTTAAACAAATAGGAGAGCCATTTATCTGTCAAAATTCAAATCCCTCCCATTGCCAGGTCTCCAGGTTAACTGCTTAATGAATAGAGCTCATTGCTTGAGGCATTTAGGTAAAGACAAAAGTTCCTTGAAACAAAATTTTCTAAAGCAAATTAAATATGCCATAAAACATATAACTTGTTATATGCCAAAGGGAAAGCAATTGGATCACTAGCAGCAGGAGTACAGGACAAGAGGGAAATGATGGTGATGTCAAGCACAGATGCAGAAATGGCCCAAATGGTATGGAGGGATGGTGCAGTCTATACATCTTCCTGCCAGTTCTGCCTGGTACTATATGTCCCATATAGCATGTGCTCCAAGTCTGTGTAACTTATCTCAGCTGATCTGTATGGGTAAATCTCTACATGAGCAAGAAGCTGGGGGATGAAAAGCAGCAGGGATACTTCAAGTTGTCCAAGTACCTGGCTGAATAAAACCCTGCGTTTGTACTAAGATGTTCTTGCATGGCTCGGATGACAGGACCCTGCCCAATGTAAATACCACACAAGCCAGAAAGAAGAAGACATGACATCATTTTTTCTATTTCTGTAGCTGATCCCAGCCCTTCTTTGTTCTCTTTTATTCCCTAAAGAGGCTTCATAGATGGATGGACTTTGTGTGTTGTACCGAAGGTTTGGCACTTGCTCCCTCCCTCCTTTGCCCATGACTGCTGACAAGAGGGGAATAGGAGCTGTTGAGGGAGTAGTTCTCTCACTTTAAAGACTGAAGCAGTCTGTGTTGAAAAAAAAGAAAAAATAAATAAAATAAAAAACTAGTTGAAATGTTTTTAGCATTTGAAAGTTTTTAAGCCTCTAGGTGCAGCTTTTTTGCAAACAAATAAGTGTATACATATCTCCTCTTACAGAATGGGAAGCCAATGGGAAGAAAAAAAATCAGAGGACTTTTGAGGTTACTGCTGTCAGGTAGCATAAGCGGGTCAAATCCAAGGATTTTACCTCACCTCCCTTTCAGAATTACCTGGAGCCCTGTGAAGAGCTGTTTGCTCATTGTCCTACCATCTGGCCTATCTTTATTTGATCTTAGAAGAGTTTTTTTCTCTTCCCACCAGGGTCCAGACACGGGATAAAAGCTACTAAATAGAAATAACCCATTTTAAATACACTGGCTAGAAAGAAATGCTAATGAGGAGTTCTTTCTTCTGTCTTTCAGCTCACAACCCCGAATTTCCCTGTAGTCGTCAAGCTGGGGCATGCTCATGCTGGAATGGGGAAGGTAAGTGAAAGCAGAAATACATATAGCTCATGAAACATTTATATATGCAGCATGGCATCCCTGTGATGCATCTTGCATGTGGCTACCCAGGGAAGGGGCTCCCCACAGCCTGTCTGTGTTGCACTGGCTCTTCCTTGCTCTGCTCTTGCCCACTCGAGACAGGCAGTGTATGGGGATTGGAGGCAGTCTGGGATGCAGGAGGCAGGTGGTGGACAGTGAGAGAGAAGCTGGCTGGGCTGAAGTCATTAGGCCTGTATTTTATGTGGTTTATACTCTCCTGCAATGTTGTTTATTCAAGCACCTGTAAAGTACAGCTAGTCTGCACCCCATAGCTCTCTCACAATGAGGAGTAGCAGCACTGGTCTTTTTGAGTGCATTACAGTGACTTTATTCAATAAAATGGGAACTCTCTTCAGTTATTTTTTCACTCCTTGTGATGGAAGAACAAGACCTTACAAAGCAGAGCAGCTGGTTGCCTGCCAAGGGATCCTGAAAAACAATTCCCTGCCCAGAAGGACCTGTTTGTTTTTCCCAGGCTCCTTGGGATCTTTATTCCCCCACTGAATTAGCAGCTCCTCTTTCTTGGGGTAGCTGGGCCCCGATGAGGCACCAGTACCTTCCTGCTATACGCTAGCCTCCTCTTTTCTTGCATATACCTTTCATCAAACCATGCTCTGCCTCCCTAAAACATGATTGTCCAGAAGCAGGAAAATCTGAAGTATCATCTCTGAATCCAAATGGGTGGTGCTAAAGTTCACAAGAGATACCCGTCACAGTGTTTCCCTAGGGTCGACAAGCCTTCCTTTCGCGACCTCACACTCTCTTTGCATGAAAATCTTATATGGTTATGCCAGACCTAAGCTTGGTACAGCTTGTTTGCTTGAGCTCTGGAAAAAACAAGCACTTTCTGGCTTCCTGGATTGCACACAGAAGCTCTCATAATCTTTCTTGCAGTGGCCGCAATGTTCCCCTGTCTGGCTGGTAGCAGCCTGAGAGGAAGTGGGCTCAGATTCCTGGCAAGTGGTGGAGCTGGCTGTCAGCATCAAAGAAAAAAGCATTTAAATAAGCGGGGAAACCACGTTTAAATGTTGGAGCTCCGTATATTAAGCAGGCCGAGGTGTCAATGTGTTAGAGTACATGCGAACAGCCCAGTGCTCTCCTCACCGTGTCCTTGGGAGTGATTTCATTAGCAAAATTGGACAAACCAGCACAAGCCGGGAGGAAGATCTCATCTTGCTCTCCCTCGAGGAAAGGTTTCAAGCTCCCTGGGAGCTACCTTGGTCTAACTGCAGTCTCGGTCTCTCTAACTGCTTTGCGATGCCACCTGTAATGTAAGGAGGGCTTCATGTTTCTCTCTTGGGCAAAAGGCCCCTTTGGGGGCTACAAGCATGGCAGAATCAGAGGAAAACATCCCAATTTAAACAGTATTTCTGGGCAGCATTTCTCTCAGGTGTTTTTTTTTTTTCTGTGGTAGCCACCAGATCTTCTACCTCTCGGTTTATTTCACCTTTTATTCTTTAATAAAGTTGATTTTTTGCTGTCACGAGTTATATGGGAAGAGGGTCTCTATTCAAACTCCAGGCACAATTGTATGCTATAGTACAAGGGGGTTATGTAGGAAGTCATTCCAAATGAAGATAGGCTGGCAGCCAGCATCCTAGAAAAAAAGGGACTGGTCTGAAGCCAAGTTTACTTCAGCCCATTATGAAATTAGGGACTACAAGCAAACTCTGGAGGTGGATTTGGGCATAGAGTTTTAACACCGCTCTGTTCAGTAGGTGGAAAAGGAAGAGTTGTTGACCTTACGGTTTTAATTTGGGCCCTTCTCCAGCCACAAACAGCCTGACGGAAAACTGAGACTGATTAAATTAGTCCTATTGACGTCCCACTGCATAGAGAGAAAAAAAGAGAAACTGAAATAAAATAAAGAACAAGCTGTTGGTTTAAAATACATGTAACAAGAATTTATTTGATTTTATCTTTAAGACAATAGTGTCCAAGACCAAAGTGGGCTAACAGAAAGAAAATACAGAAAATGGCAAGATAAGTAGATACAGGCAGAAAAATGGACATGCTGAAAAAGCAGCAGCAATAAGTAATAATAATAATAATAACAATAATAATAATAATAATAAACTCATTTAAAGTAATTCAGAAAAGAAAAGTTTCCAGGAAGCACAATGGTGATTTTAACTATCCTAAAATAAAAGTAATAATCAATGATGATGAGGAGACTGCAGACAACTGAAGGATTTCTTTGCATTGGTCTTCAGAAGTGGAGATGACAGAAGGAAATGACAGGCCTTTAGCAGTAAAATATACATAATATGGAAAAAAAAGCCATTTGTTTTTGGTTTGGATGAGCCTTAATAAAGCACCTGCAATGGGACGTATTTTGTACAAAAGCACTAAGTGAAGAAACAAAGGATAAAATAACCAACCCATTAGCCAAAGCACACATGTGAGTATTAAAAATAGTACTTACTGCAGCAAATGATGCCAAGACAGTAAGCCATGCACCTATACTTGCAATGGGTGCTTCAAAGGATGTGAGCATTCAGATTACAATCTCATTACCAGGAGAAATTGTCAAGGAAGTACTTACATTTTTTTATTTTTATTAACAATAAAATCACGTGTAAGGGGAAGTACCAGGAAGAATGAGCAAAGGCAGGAAGTCCAGACACTGTTATTCTTTATTTGTACTGAGGTAGTGGCAAGGAGCCAGAAAATATCAGGACAAAGAAAAGGCCTCTGCCCCAAAAAGCTCCACCACTGGCTCACTGCTCGTGCTCAGTTTCAGTGGGACTGCAACAGTTACCTGATATTTGCAACTAATTCATGTTCCTAAAGCTCTCCATGCAGAAGCAGTGCTGAGCATTTATTATTTTATAATAATATCTGTAGAGAGCATAAATATAATAGAACATATCCTTTGTTTTCACATTTTTGCAAAATTTACTCACCATTTTTAAGCAAAGGGATGAATAGAGGGTCATGAAACCAAAATAAAAAAATAACTTTGTTAGGACTTGTAAGAAACAGGTTATGCTGACTATCGTTGTCTTGTATAAACAGTTAATAGATAAGATCAGAACCAAAAGGGGTGACAGCATACCACTAAGGATAAAAATGCTCAAGTGATGCTTGCATGTAAAGCCTGGTTAGAAATGAAGAAAATAAAAGCATCTTTTCAATTTTCTGTTAAGAAATCCAGGAACAACAGTCTCCCTGATGACTTCAACATAAGATCCTTCATCCAGACAATCTAATCACCCACTGGTCAGACATAGGCCCCTCAGCTCTTCCCATGGCCGCCTTTTTCCCCCTTCCAAAATTTGTCATCACCCCATTTCTGGCAGGCTTTGGAAGCTCATCCAGTGAGCTTGCCCAATATAGTACCAATACAGATACATTAGCAGAAGTATTAGAGGGTCATCAGAGGAAGACCTTTCTCATGCTGTGTTTTAAGTTCCCCAGGGTCATGAGGCAAGACTATCAAAGAAATCTTCCAAGAAAACTATGGATGGACACTGACAGAAGACATCCTTCCCAGGATACAATTGAACTATTGTCTGCCCAGCATTTCATAAGAGATGGAGGCATTTTTTTTTAAGCATTGTGAAGTTTGAACCAGTTGAAGTCCTACCTATCCCAGACACAGCTGGGAGATCTCCATTGAGTGGACACTAGAGTCAGAAAGAAATAACACTTCTTCCTGACTCCAGATAGCATCATGCCAGAGCTCTTTGCAAGGAATAAAGCTCTGACTGTGTTAATATCTGCAATTTGTGTGCTAACATGACCCTAAAGTGACCCAGGAACAGAGCCCAGCACTGCAAATTCACTCAAAGAGCCTCTTCACCTCTTCCTGATCAGATCATGGGAAGGAAACAACTGCCAGATCGCAGAGAGAGGAAAAACAGTTCCTATTCATGTGGCTCTCATATATATTTATAAAAAATTAATAAATATACATATATTGCTACTCTTACTTTATTTTTAGACCTTTATAATTAAGTCACCTCCTATCCATTCCTGCCCCATAATTATGAAAACACCTCCCTGGTACAAATCCTGTCTCAGATGAATTTATTACATTGTAGAAGAAAAACTTGTTGTTCATAATGATGTGGTCAGAGTTATTTTCTCTCTTACTGGATGGGAAAGACTTTTTTTTTTTGGTACAAATATAGTACAAACTAAACAGAGCCACTATGTAATGTAAAAATACCACAAGCTTTTTATCAGGAAGGACAACTCGTCACCTTGTCTCTCTCGGGACTGGAAATAGAATGTTCTAAAAGTGAGAGCTTTGAAAATCCAGTATGCTAAAGAGGAAAGGAAGGGAAAAGGGCTGCCTTGGTTTGTCAAGGAACAAATATTTTCTTTTTCAGAGGGAAAATAATGACTTGACACACAACATTCACAACAAAGCAGCCCAATCACTGCATTCCCACTGACTCATGAGTGAGGAGGTACCACCCATCTTGAAAATAGCAGGAACATCCCAATTTCTTGCACATAAGACTGTAACCTTTTCCTGGATGCAGACAACTGTGACTGATCCAGGCTACTTGGGAGCAAAGCTGCCAAGACATGTGGCTGACCGCAACTCTTCACTAGAAAGTTCACAGGGATTATAAGCCTTAATTCATTAAAGACTGTGAAATGCGTGGAGAACTTCAGTTTGTGGCTAACAAAATGCAGGCTCGGCTGTATCTTTATTGTTTTGAGATGGGTCAAAAGTTGAATATGTGTTGGTTGGATCTAGTATTTTCTGAGAAGGGGAGTGTAATTGTGGGGTAAAGGAAAGGAGACATTGAGGAAAACCTGTGTGCAGAGCCATTTCGGGAAACTAGTTGTCCCAAAATGTCAAAGTCACTACAGAAAGGCTAAGAGCAGGTCAAGAAGGATTAAAAAGCACAAGTTCTGTGTTGCCATGCAATTTGCTCTGCAGGAAAACATTCAGACAGTACCTTTTCCACAAGCCTACCCAGACACTGTTGAACACACAGCCAAGCCCTGCCCCAGTTGGCCTTGTACACTTACCTTCTAACTGAACCTGTCTCTAATACCAATTTGGATACAGAAACTGCTTCTGCAAGCCATCTCTGAAGTAATGTGGGTTTAAACTGTGACGCAGAGTTAATTCTGGATGACACTTAGAGAGGTTAAGAATAGGGCAGCCCTGGTGGACTACTGTAATTCTGCTACTTTGGCTGACTATTTTTTCATGTGGCCACGTAACTAACAAAAGAAAAAGTGAGCAATATCTGTAGTACTTAGGCTAAAGACGAGAGAGGAGTGCCATAGCCCTGGGATCCTGGCATCCATGAACATCTGAGACATACAAGACTATACAAGAAGGAGAGCAATGGACAAAAAATTTGACAAATATGAGACAGAGGAAGCAGAAATTCTTGCCCAGGTCCTACACTGCAAGAGTCTGTGCTCAAAAAGCCATCAGGATGGCTCAGGATGCCCTGGATATGTCCAATGCAGGTTTTTAGGAACCCGAAATATCCTGTCTTGCGGGAAGGTCTCCAAAGATGTCCCATACTCCCCTCCCCACTGCAGTAAAAGGGGACATGGTGGTGATGATAGATTTACGGTTGGACTTGATGATCCTGAAGGTCTTTTCCAACCATAATGATTCTCTAATTCTGTCATTCTATGCCTAAGGCACTAGACTATACTGAGGTTAGACAAGAAAGACAGAATGGAAGCCAGGACTATGCCAGGGAGCCTTCTTGCTCAGAAAAGGCATTTGTCAACACAGTGGCCCAAACTCTTCACAACAGGTCACTAAAACTCTACAGCAAACAGCAGCTGATGGATCTAGAATGAGTCTATTGCTGATCAAACAGCCAGCACAGCTAAGCAAACAGGCCCACAGGGCAAGGGCTGTGTTTGCACTCACTGTTTGCACTCCTCTATGCAGCTAATGGGATATTGCATTCATTCTAAGAAGGGTGCAAAAAAGGGGGGAGGGGGAAGAAAGAGAGAAAAATGTCTTCCTGTCGATTTCTCTGACTTCTCCCTCTTGCTACACTTTCGCATTTTGGCCAGCCTGCCATTTTAGAAGACAAAATTATCCCTCATTAGGTAAATTGCTAACCGTTTGCTCTAGAACGATTGTTAATGATCCCATCTTAAATAATGCCCTCTGGCGTCACACCACATCCACCCTGGCTTTCGTTATCGCTAGAGTTTTTTTCTCCTGCTAGGAGAATGGATATTTTATTGATGTGTAAAAGGGTTACAAGGCAGGAGGAAATGTATTACAAAAAATGTAAAAGTAGAAAGCTAATAAAATGGTGGACTCGATAGATAAGACAGGGAAATAAATCTAATTTGACTGTAACTTGAGTGCTTCCTGTTTATGAAGTAATAACTGCATCCTGGACTGAACCAGCATTAAGCCAGGACACAGTTGTTATTTTGTCAAATTTGGCCGGCTCTAACAATTAACAAAAGAAAGCTCAGATTTCAGTTTTGGTGGGGTGATTATTTTGCTGCCCTGTGGGAAATAGGCCATGATTTCATAAATGGGAAATTCAGTGAGGTGGTTGCTCTCTGAAAAGTCCCCAAGAAGGGCTCTGGCATGGGTCAGGAAAGATGACAGACGTGCTTCCAGAGGCCCATGTAGCTTTGTAGAAGTTGTGTCCTTCCATTTTCACTTCTTATTTTACATTTCTTATAAGACCCCCAAGTCTTTACCTATTTACTCAATCAAAAGTCCCCAGCCCCATTGGAAAGAAATATCCTCAGGTGCTCCTACTCTCTTCCCATGTGGAAAAGAAGAACAAACGGACCCTTCTTTTCCTTTGCACCCCATGTTTCTGTGAAAAAAGCCTATCTGGGTGAGAAGAGCACATACTTCCTCTCAAGCAAGAGCAATCTGGTCTAGTTGCAGCCTGCAAAGGAAGAGGCGTCCATCCCTCTACCTCTGGGACTGATGCCCCTGAGTCGGGAATGCAAGCACTTCATCCAGGACCCAGAGAAATCTGTTGCACAAGCACAGCATTTTGCTTCGGATCCCACGTGTGTCCTCATTCCAAGTAGGTCATTATATAATGGCTTTTGTCTCTTCCCATTGCCAAAGGCCCTGGGAGGACATGTCGTCACCCTGCGCGTCGCCTGCCCCTCAAGTCCCTCCTGCAATCACCTCATCTGGGTGGGACTCGCTCTCACGTGACATCATGCAGCCCTGTGCCGCTCTTATCTGCGCAACAAAAACACCCGGCCCCAGCGCGGCCGGCGGCCTCCTCCCCAAGAGGCCCCAAGCCCTGGCAGGGCTGGGGCGCCCCTGCCACACGGGTGCTCCCTTTCATCCTTACCATCGCCCTTGCTTCCGCACCCGCTTTGTCCTGCCCACCTCCCTGCCCGGAGCAGCCCGTCCTGTGAGGAGCTCTGTCCTGCTCTGGCACATGGGGCAGCAGCAAAGCCCTGAGCACGGCTGCTCCTCCTGAGTGATGTACAATATATGTCTTTGTATTTCCCCTTTCTAATTTTTTTTCTCCTTTTTGCAAGGACAACCCAGGTTTTCCTTGGCTCTTTTCCTCAGCAGATGCCAGAGTGAGAACAAAACCCTCACGGGTCTCCGTACCACAGGAGAAAGGGGAGGCCAACGGGTACTCTGCATTAAAGGGAGAAGTTAAGATCCAGATTCCTTCCTCTTTTGTGGGGCTCTAGAAAGGGTCATGAGTCAAACCAGTTGCACTTTTCACCTCCACCATGACCCATTCAGGTCTCAAGAGCTTCTCTGCGCTGCTCCTGCGTGATGTGGCTGCATCTCTGGTTTCTGCTACATCAGGAGCTTAAACAACACAGTCTAAAGAGAGAAATACTCCAGCTGCAGGTTAGCAACAACCTTGTCCTCCACGTTCTGTTGAAGATGGCTCCTGCCCTCTCATGGCTGGAGGCAGACATGTAAAACCACTTGTTTGTTCTTTGCAAAGAAACACCAAATTCCAACGCACAGGTGCTTCCTTCAGCCGGCTCCACGTAGTCTGGCATCACCCTCCTTCGATACACGTACTGACACAACTGGGGAACTCTCCTGGGCAGAGACCACCTGGCTGTTACACGCGTGTAGACACTTTGCAAAGCAGGGTCACAGTCCCCAGCTGGGGCCTGTAAGTATTGCCAAACCGCAAAGCCTATGCAATACATAAAGTCATCTACTTGCTCACTCTTTTCACACAATGTCAGACATATTTTTTGCCAGTCAGCCTACCCTTCCTGTATCTGTCCCACGCTGAGGAACAAGAATCATAAGGAATTCTCCAAAGCAACAAGCAGATTTTTGCCAACAGACTAAAGGCTGTGGTAGACAGGATGAATGAGGTCATGTTGTCTATCACATTCTTGTCACCTGCTTGTTCAGTTTGCCTGTTCCTACCCCAATAGCTTTGGCAAAGATTTGATAGGTCAAATTGATTTGGTCCTTCTTTTTTTTTCCCTTTTTTTTTGCATATGTTTCAGAGTGTTTCTCATAAACGAATACAAATCTGAGAAGAGACAGCTTTTCAGGAAATATCCTGGTCATTCTGTACTCTCCTTTCATTGCCAAGTGTGATTGCAGTTCCCTACCAGCTGCCCACACACACACACATGTCCATGGCATCATGCTCACAGATCTCCCCAAGAACCATGAACTTCCCCAGAGGCATCCTTTTCCTTCAGTGCTTGCTTCCAGCTGGGAGGCCTGCATCACTCCTCAAAGAAAGGCTCGATGGCGGTAATGTGAAATGCCAAGGAACTGAAGACTGGAAGTGGCAGACAACCAGCTCTCTTGTTTATTTTATAGCATTGGCTTCTATTTCCGGACCACCCAAAATAATCTGTTCTCATCCCTCCCAGTATGGGAAATAGCAGTTCCAATACTTGAGTGAAGTAATACCCCTGCTGAAGACATTAAATATGCTTTTGAAGCATCATAAACTTAATGAGCATTAGCAAGCACCATCTGGGCAAAGCTCTGACTGCTTTCTCGGAGATAGGCTTGCCAGAGCTTGCACATGAAGGAAGGAGAAAGTGGTCATTTTGCTCTGGGTTAGGTTTGCCAAGGAATGTCTCTTTTCAAATTACGCACTCTCTGCTCTGTTCTCAGCTCCATGTGTGTGTTTTTTAACTGGTATTGTATCATTCAGGCTCTGAGATGGCTTATTCCTGTTCTTTTTGTGCTTGTCACCTCTTGGCGGGATCTTGGCAATCAAGGTCAAAGTGGAGAACCAACACGATTTCCGAGACATGGCTAGCATAGTAGCTATGGCAAAAACCTACGCCACGACCGAGCCATTCATCGACTCCAAGTACGACATCCGGATCCAGAAAATCGGCAACAACTACAAGGCTTACATGTGAGTGCATGGCTGTGCTGGGGTGAGTCAGGGGCTAATGCTCAGGAAGGGTACTGCTGTGGATGTGATTCAGTTGGTGTCTGCTCTGGGTAGGAGTAAGAGGATGACTGAATTTCCTTGAGGACTAACCCTACTATTCTTTCCCTCTGTTGAACTCAGATCGCCTTCTCTATTACTCACTGTCAGCCCATTGCTTCTGGAAGGCGAATCTGTCTAGCTGTTTCTGAGTGTTGTTTCTTTCCCTGGATGAAAGCTGTCCTCCACCGTTCTCCATCACGCCCTACCTCCTGTTGTGAAAGGGCCCGCCTCTTCCAAGGCTTTTAACAAAATTCTCCAGTTTCCAGCGCCCTCTAGTGTTCCCCTTTCCTCCTGGGGGGCAATCGGAAGGGAGGGATGGCCCAACAACCAAAGCTGGCTGCAACCCGTGGAGACGTCCAGCATCCAACCCACAGCAACCCCGAGCTCTAGCTCATGCCCAGCCCAAGCTCGCGGCACTTTGGGCACATGAGACTTCAGGGAGCGCCTGGCACTGGCAAGACCAGCCATGGCCTGGCCAGCACGCAGGACTCCTGCAGGCGTTTTGTGAGCGTGCCCCTGGACACCCGCAAGGGAGGGGAAGGAGAACTTGCCTGGCCTGGCCTCCTGGCACTGAGGGTGGTGGCAGCAAGAAGGGCAGCTTTCATCCCCGAAACATCACTCACATACTGATGTGCTTAAACAAATCAAAGAGCATTCAGCCAAACTTCAGCAGTCGTCGTGCTCAATTAAAGATGTAACCGCAGGGCTCAGTAAGACACCTGTTTCTTTTTACTGAAAAACAGTAGACAAGAATAGCCAAGTAACGCAGCTCTTCCAGAAATACCGCTCCTTATTCGGCCACAAAATTCAGGATAAGGCAGCCCTGGCAGTATGTTCTTCAGGTCACCAGATAGATAGATTTCATATGTTACCTAAGACTCACAATATTACAAGTTTTAGATCTGTTTTTACAAACCCCCAGGCCATAGCTATGGCGCAAACAGAGTTAAATAAGATAACCAAATGTACATGATCACATACTTTTCAGCTATAGCTGCCTAAAATTCCTGGTCAGATTCCTAGCACAAAGGTATTTAAATAAACTTGATAATAACTGAGCCACATTCTTCATGGGTAAGACTTGTGGGACATTCAGCTACTTCATGTGAACCCAAAGAGAGAAAATGTGTTTTAAATCTGATCAGGTCCACAACAGCACAGTTGCTTAATATTAACATCTCATGCACAACCTGGCTCAAATCGGTCAAAGGAGGGAAGGTTTAAAATATCCATTAAAATTCCCTGCTTCTGCCAACCTACTCAGCCCTGGCTCCACAATCTGCTCCCAGTCTGCCTGTAAGTAAAACAAAGGCCCAGTTTGCCTTTCCCCAGTTACTGCTCGCACTCGCCACAAACTCACTCAAGACACAGATCAAAAGTAATACCAGATGATTGAGGAAAGGAAGTAGTCACACGAAGAGCTAATTCTACTCGGGAATGTAGCTGTGCAAACAATTGTATGCTAAATGAAATATGTTTTCATTTGAGCACTTGACTAAGCAGCTATAAATGGGAAACACCTTAATGAAATTGCAGCTTACTAGCAAAGAAAAAAAAATACTGCAAAATTCACTAAGAAGAGACTTGTAAACCCAGAAAGTGATTCTATATTGAGAGAGCCTTTTATGGAAGTGAAGCTAGGAGAGCTGTAGAGTCAGTCTGATTGTGGGCTGTTCCTTATGGAAGGTATCATTTTGTCCCAGCATCAGGCAGAATGAGAGATTATTTCTATGGTATAAATAAGACCCTACTGTGACATAGGGCAGAGGTAAAAGCACCCAAAATATCAGGGTTCCCACTGGTGTCTCAAACAGAACACCCAACATCATGAGTCACGCTAGCAAATCTCAGCCTTAAAGGCAATTGCAGCATCTGCTGTAGCATCAGACCAATGGAGAACTGCTTTGATCCGTGAGCCATGGAATCTACCCAATATTTTTATACCTTCACCCACACATTTAGGCTTTAAAAGTCCCCTTCTTTCTGAGAAAGAACTGTGTTATTGAACTTCTCCAAAATATGTTTACTTTGCACCAAGCATCTGCCAGAGGGAGGATGCTACAGAGTGACTCATGCATTCCTCCCCTTCCCAGATGCTCAATGCACTTCCTTCCAGCTCATGACCCAGGCCTTGAGTTCAGGTTCCCATTAACTTCAGTGCAGTGACTCCAGATTTACGCTATTAACAAACACCCACGTAGGCCCTGCTTTGGGCCATCCTCAAAACAGCAGATAAGAAGCATGTGATACATGCCTAAAATTCCACTGAATATATTTGACTGATATTTAATACTGCTGAGGAGAAAACATGAATATTATTCATGTGGCAGGAGAAACAAGGACAGAAATTATACACTCCCCTCCCCGACTAGAGGTGAGCAGAGTTTCCATTGCCAGTTAGAGCTTCTGAAGTGTTTTTCCCTGTGGATTACCAGCAGCTGCTGATTGCCAGGCATAGGACAGTCTTTGCCATCAGTTTTTAGCAGGAGGATCATATCCTTTCCATCCTAGTTTCATGAGCATGGCTTCTGATTTTGTCATCTCAAATGTGGTTCATAGCCATATGCTCTTCAGGGGGATAGAAATCTCTATACTACTTTTAGACTGAAATGGCTCAGCTAGAAGATGGTGAGTTAGGGCATCATTAATCAAGGAGCTGCAAGTCTATCCACTTATCCTAAGCAAAGTTACGAGTGTCAGGCTACAAATTTACCTGAGCTCCCATCCTTCGAACCTTTGGTCCATTCATTTAAGATGACGTCTGCACACTGATATGGCCCCTTGGCATTTAGGATGATTGGATGAACTTTGAGTCCCTAGCAGAAAAGGGCTTGGAAGCAGAGCATCCCTAAAGAAACACCATTGCTTTCAATTTTCTACTGTGGGTTGAATGAAAATGGGGAATTGGAGGGAGGAGAAAAAGGACTTGGTGTTAAACTTCCAACTGGAATGACTCTGTCATGCTGGGAAGGGAGTGATCTTGACAGAGGCTTCAGGTGAAGCTTTTCCATTTAGAAACAATTTGAAATAAACTCAAGAGAAATACTTGATATGTTATGCCCAATATTGTACCATATCTTATCTGTTCTTATTTCTGGAGTTTTCTCAAGCCAAATTACCTTCCCAAACTATATAGCTGTGGTTTGGTTTTCTTCAGCTCAACTTTTCTTCAACTCAGCTACTTATGTTCAGTATTGTAGCTAGATCTTGTAAACACTGATATTTAATCATCTTCTTGGAAATCAGATTCTGGAAGTTCTCATCAGTAGCGGTGGGATTTTAATGTCATCTGCTACTATATGACAATTTGCTGGATCTATATATTAATATAAACTGGTTCTCATTGCAGAACTGAGCAACATAATCCTAAGTATCAAGACATATAAAAATCAAAGGAGAGGCTGAGGGTTGAACACTGTACTTACATAATCAAAGGGCTCCTAACTATCAAAACTTGTGGAGAAATCCATCCTTTTGCTTAGAAAGTAGTGCAGGAAGATGCATGTTGGGTGAGAATCAAGTGCCCAAGCCAACTATATGAAAGCATAATTATTCAACAGAGTAACCATTCTTCCCCTGGCTATTCCTGTAAAGATGGGTAATAAAGCCCATTTAAATATCACAGTCAGGCTAGAAGAGAAAAGGAAACAGGGTCCTAGAGTGTCCTTCAACAGGGTGCAGAGACACGCTAGGTAGTCAGCTGTTATGATCCAGGTTTACATTTTGGCAGAACATCAGCATCTCCACTGTTCCACATAGTCTTTAATGGACAAAAACAGTCAAGAATATCTTTTCTACATCTTGTTGAAAAGATGACAGAACAGGAAAGGAGGATTTCCACAACACCATACAGAAGCATTGGATCACTTTCCTAAATCACTACCTAAATCTCCTACAACATGGAGACAGACCTTAGATGTATCCTGTCAGCATGCTGACTTGTCCTAGCTTGTACCAGGGTTTTATGCATACTCTTGTCATAGCAGCCTATCCAAGATTCACCTTGCACCTAAGTTTAGGGGAAGGAAATTGTTTACCCCTTAATGGGTGATGGTGAAACCTAGAATTTGTCAGTATCATTCTTGTAAATCGACAGTAAGTTGCAGCTAAGGAAAGTCCAATCATTTTATGGTTATAAACTCTCTCAGTCCAGACAGTAAGCCACTGAAAAGCCAGCAAAAAAGCCAGTGAAAGACAAGGTATAATATTATTTTCTATGCCACCGGTACAATTGAATTCAAAGTCAGGAAGACCCAGAATGTTATAGCTGATATTTCTGGAGCTGTTCAGGCAGATGTTTTCCTGCAGAGTTGTTCTTCCAGAAAGAGAGTGTGCTAACATTACAGAAGACAAGGCTGGTTATCTTGGAGTTCATCTACAGACATCTAAGCTCTCCTGGGCCTGATATATAAAGAAAGAAAGTACTCACAAAGCTAATGTTGATCATCCACCAGACACACAGTCAAAATACCTTGGAGATTTCCCTATCACCTCGTTCAGTTTTTCATGAATCTGAACAATATATTCTGTATGGAGGGCAAGATTTGGAAAGACTCCTGTGAGGAGGAAGCTCACCACATCCTCTTTTGTACAAGCACTGAGTCAAGAATGAGGGCCACAGTAAAAGGGAGGGTGGGGTAGGACTGTATTTTCATGTTCTGGTTTTGTTTTTGGTTTGTTTTTCTAGGAGGACGTCCATCTCTGGAAACTGGAAGGCAAACACAGGTTCTGCCATGCTAGAGCAGATTGCAATGACAGAGAGGTAAGGAAGAGAAGAGGGTTGCAAAGACAGTATTAGCTATTCTTGGTTTAGAAAGGAGGAAATGTATTTCAGACTTCAGTTAAAGGGGAGAACTGGCAGGTGAGGTTTCCTGGGAGGCGGGATAAAGGAGTTTAAAAGACCAAATGTTTCCTTAAAAATATACTGAGAGCACAGAGGCAAACTGTCCTAATTTGGAAAACAGACTGGAAGGACAGCAAGAGACCAATATTGCTAAATCATTAGAGCTTTACTGAATGTAGCCACAGGAAACTGGACCAGCATCCTGAGGTCAAGCTCACAAGCACAAACATGTAGGGATAAAATCAGAAAGGTCACAGCACAAAACAAGAAGTAACAGGAAGTTATTCTAAGTACACTACTTGTAAGAAGCAGACATAGAAAAGATTTTTTTTTGCTGCTTAGCAGAGAGAAAAATCCGTTAGCTTAAGTGTTGAAAGCATGTTTCACATCATTCTCCCAAAAGTGTTTCAACTAAGGTCCTTTCGCTGATGAACACAGCAGGAGTTGCTTCATGCATCTTGCAAATTGAACTTTGCAGATGGTACTTCCATGTATTCATACCAATGTGATACTTGCTTCTATTGCAACTGTATTATGTTGCTGACCCATTGTAACCTATACTCAACTGTAACCGCAAGTCCCTTCACTGCAAAATAGCTTCCAAGTCACTTGTTCTCCATCCTATTTTTAATGCAGTAGATCACTCATAGATTTGTGGCTACATAGACTCTGTGTAGGCACTGCCCCCCTATTAAATCCAGGCTTTTTCCAGATTATTTCTCCAGTTTTCCAGGATCATTTTGAATTCTGCCTCTGTCCAGGTTTGGGCACCACACCTGAAAAAAGCTATCAGTGAGCTGGAGAAAGTCCAAATGTCAGCAGTGGGACCGCTCAGAGGAGAAAATATAATGAATATATGAGGAAAGAATGCCACAATTGCTCCTGTAGTTTTCTACCTTTTTTTTCCTGTTAGCAGACCACTGATATTTTTCTTGTGAAACTGTGGATTTGTGCACAGTGAGTGTATGCATGCGGTGCAGAAATTTGCTTTCCTTCATTAGCTTTCACAGAGCCAGGAGAAGTCATCCACAATCTGAAAAGCACTTTACCCTAAAAGAAAGAAGACTTACAGGCAAATACATAAAAGGCTGCTAGTAGAGCATGTCCCACTTTCTATATTACTCATACAGTAGGTCAAGAAATAATGGGTTTAAGTTATAGCAAAAAAAAAAAAAAAGAAAAGTTCATTTGGACATTAGGAAACGTTTCCTAGCATTAAAGATAGCAAAGTACAGTAATAGATTGCCTCTTTAAAACAAGATTAGAGAAATGTCTTTCAGGAATGACACAGAACAGCTCTTCCCTGTTTGGGGGTAGCAGAGTGGTGCAGGTTACCCTCGAAGGTGCCTTTGCAGCTATAGTTCTGTGAACCAAGAAAAGCAAGTCAAGCTCTGCAAGGCCCTAATAGGACCATGGGATCTGAACATTATTGAATTATGAACATGGATCCTGGTTGTTTATGACACAGCTGAAGACAGAGGGATGAAAGGGCAAAGGTCCCCCACTGCAGTGTACAATATTAATGCTCAGATTCCTCCCTACCTCTCTAGATACACTTTGCATGGGCAACAACCCTCTTAGTCTGGTTGCTGAACCCAAACACTTGCAAACCTCCCTCAGAACCACAGAGTCACAAAATGGTTGAGAGTGGAAGGAATCTCTAGAGATCATCTAGTTGAGGTTGCTCCTACCTTGGTGTCCAGCTCCAGCAGGGCACAGTGGGGGCTCACAGTGCATTCTGCCTCCTTCACATAGTCCCTAGCTCTCTCCGTATGATATTCAGCCCTCCTTCTGCTATTTCTTCCTCATGGGTGCTGAGATGAACATGCTTCGTCTCCTCGTTAGGCATAGAGAATGCTGGTAGTCACATGAACCATTTTCTTGCTTCTTTCTGAAGGCAGACATTGGGTTGCACAAGTTGATCATTATATTTTCAAGGGACTCTTGGCTTCAAAGATATAAACTTGTTCTTTGGCCAGAACAGCTTTTTTCCCATTCTTTTTAGGGTCTGCAAAATGTCAGTGTTTTCATGAGACCATGGCCTTCCCTCTCCTCCCTGCATCGTGTCATAGTTCTGCTTACAGATCTGCTGTTCGGAAATTATTTTTATTGAAATGGTCAGAACTGCAGTGCAGCTGCACAGGAAATAAAGCCAGGCTGCCTCTCTCCCTCCTCATTTCCACAACAAGGGGATGAGCTCCCCTCATAATATGGCTGTTGCCGTTCTATCTTCTCCTCTAACACGGCAACATCTAAGGGAGCACCCATTAGATGTGGCCTTTCTTCATAGCAGCTCATTTCCCAATTTGGGACAGCTGCAGACAAGGACTGTAGCACGTAGCTCTCTGCCTGATTAAGCTGTGCCTGGTCTGTATGAGGGGAATACCTGGCTAGGAGCATTCAGTGCCCAGGGGATAGGAGGGAAGTAGGAGACTGAAAAAGGATGAAATGGAAAGAGTAAATTATGAAAAGCAGGAGTCACTGGATCACAGACCAGAGATGAGGTGGCTACACCCTGCTAAATTCTGCTCTGACTTTCCAGTCCTATTCCAGCTCTGACGTGCTGGACTTCTTATCAGGAGAAGTCTGCCTACATAATGGAGGGCTTTCAGGCAAAGCCAATACAAACGCTAAAGGGCCAACTCTGCTGGGAGGTTAAATGAGCTAAATATTTATAGCTTGGCAAAATGACAACCAGCTGGAGATCTGATGGAAATACCAAGGAGGAAAGGAAATATTTTAAGGTGGTTTTGAGGGCAAATAACTCGGAATAAAGGAAAATGTTAGCAAGATTCCTTTTTCTGCTACATCTCCTGTGCACAGACTGGGGCGATGCCCTAGCAAAGCATATATAGCTTATGTTACGATAAAAAACGCTCCAGAATTTCTATGTCCTCCTATGGGCAGAGGGATGGGCAATTATATTTGGTGAAATCCCCAATGACAGCTAATTCCAGGCCATGCCTCTATGGTTTCTGCAGGTACAGACTCTGGGCGGATGCCTGCGCAGAAATGTTTGGAGGTCTTGATATTTGCGCTGTCAAAGCTGTCCACAGCAAAGATGGAAAAGACTATATCATTGAGGTGAGAGCATGGGGAACTTAAAGGCAAGTCTTTTTAGAGAAGTATATTGGCAAAAGCTTCAGGGTTCACGGGAACCAATGTGCTCGTGTATCCGTGTGTGCACGTTCAGCTCCTCAGTGCCGACCTATTGCCTCCAAGCTGTGGCATACTGATATATCCCGATTCAGAGTCCCAGTTAAACTGGCAGAACTGCAGAAATTGCTCAGTGTTAAAATGGCTTCATGTGTCAGGAAATGGGAAGACAGAGACTGTTTGGCCTCCCTCGCTTTCCAGTCAACAAATGCCCACGGTGTGACACTTACCAGCATGAGGCAAGATGCAGAACTGCCCCCTTGCAAGATACAACGTAGCCTTTATGAAGGCCACAGCTCTCATCATGAGTTGTCGGCAGCATCCAGTGCTTGGCATGTGTCTCACTGCACTGATGCCCCAGCGCTATCCTTCTTAGGCTGAGCACCTGTAAAGCCAGCACACCTCTGCAGTTGGTAGCAGTTATCAGCAACAACAAAAATGGACATGTTGAGATCCAACCCAACCTGAGTTCAAGCTCCAGAGGATGTTAACGTACTAATCATTATCAAACTCCCGCCGTTATCCACAGGGAGAGAAAAACAGTTAAGCCCAGCAGGTCTTTCAGGCCATTAAAGATCCCCATCTCTCCAAATGTATGTCTCCAGTCACTTTAAAGGGAATCCCCATAATAAAACTCCTAACAGCATCTTATTTAAGAAGGTAGAATATAGAGGGAGAGTGTAACAAAGATGTCCATAAGCAGCATGAACAATTTAAATAAAAGTAATTTAAATCTTTTGCCCAATCCAGCATTCACTTTAAATAACAGACTAGTAAGACAAACCACAACAGAGTTACTATGGGCAGCGTGGATGACAAACTCTTGTATTTGGGACCCCATTAACGGGAGAAACTGTGGCTGGGAAAGCTGAGGTTCAGCACGCTCCCTACCAGGCCAGGAGACACAAGTGAGAGTAGGCTAGATAGCACATTCAGGTCATCGTAACAGGGCAGAGAAGGAAAAGCTGGCCAGAAAATCAAAGTGGAAACTTAAGAGACACTCCAGGGGAGAGAAAATCTGGCAAGTAAGCAAGTGCCTCTGTCACTATGCGATGGAAGAGAGGCAAGGCACAGCATCTGACCTGCTGTAAACTCCGCCAACACAGGCCAGCCGAGGAAGATGAGCAGGGCCAGCCTATGGCTTTATGCAGTGGTGCTGACACACTGGAAAGCTATGTGTGGGAGAGCAGTCCCACCCGCTGAGGGTTGGGATGCTGATGAGAACCACATGAGCCCTCCAGCGACTGCACATTCCAGTGTTATGTATCTGCTCTCCGGGGAGCGGTGACCTGTCAAAGGCCATGTGATGTAAGTGCACTGCCAGCAGCGAGCACGCTGGCGAGCTCCGTCCTTCCTGTAGCAAAGAGGCTGCACCCCATGGGTCTGCTCCTGCGTGCGATTCATCAGCACCTAGAGGAGCATCCCCCACAGTGGACCGTCTCCTTGCCACGTGCTTTTAAATCACCGTGCTTACGGGGCAGAGAAAGAAGAGCAAGAAAGAAGGCTTGCTAGGAGAGGAGTCTGAGGCCGTTTGGATGGCTGGGTCCATGCATGGTCAGATGTGAGATGTGATATTCACATCCCAGCATCTATTCCTACACATAAGCCTACGTACCTGCACACGTGGCTGGTTCTGTGCTTAAGGATCATATGCCCCTGCCTGGGTATCTACCTCTGGGTTTTCACCCCTGCATGTGAGTGACTGCGTGACAGGCACATCCATACACTACATCCATCATGCTGCATGGGCCGAACATGTGCACTTACACCCCTCTCCCCCAGGCCAAGGTAAAAAGCAAGGGATCTAATATGGCACAAATCCAAAGGAATACATCAACTGCAGATGATTCAGGCTGCAGTACACCAACCGAGAACCTGACTGAGCAGGTCTGGTGCACAAACCTCTAGCAAGCGTTCAGATGCCAGGCTGATGGACGGTGTCAGAAAGGCATAGAATAAGTGCAATACAACGGAGCGGAACAAAGCCAAGCAGGCACCTTTTCTACTTTATGTAGATCTGAGGGAGATGCTGAAAAGAAATTAATTGCCTTCAGTCTACTTCCCCGAGTGCTTTTCTTGGTTTGAAACTGATCCTCTATTTTGCTTTTTTTCTTTTGGTAGTGGGGAAAAAAAGTTTTTTCACAGTGTGACAGTTGTGTTTCTCTTGGTGAGAAGGAACAGTCTGCTGTGACATTTTACAAGAAAGTGTGTCTAAATGGGCTGAACAAATAAGGAATTTGCACAATGCAATTGCAGGCAGCAATTAATTTTCACAGTGCAAAGCAGTTCTCTAGGACAGATTTGCAGATGGAGCAACGGGCAGTCCTGTGAATGGAGATTCATCACAAGGGTTTGTTGCGAATGGAAGCAGATTAAGAGAGATGAGTTATCAGCACAGCACAAGAGTCATCTGTTGAACCAGGGTATTTGTATATTATTTCACCTTCATTTCTATTCCCACAGTAAAGAGCAGAACCTGCCACCTTTATGCCTTTCAAAGCACTAGCATATTTTAGCACTATTTTCAAGGCTCATTTTCAGACCTAAGAAGAAATCTACTGATTTCAACAGAGTTTAATATTATTAAAGCAGTTGTGAATCTGACTCTGAATGGTGGTACTCTGCTTTAAAGAACTTTGTCACTCTAAGGGCATATTCATTAGGGTTCAACAATCCCTGGAAAAGCCAGATCCTCAGACCAGCACCAGTTATGTACTGCCTTGTGCAGCCAGCTTCTCAAAACTGCTCAGCAGCATGCACATGCTGAAGGCTTAGCAATTCCCCCCTCCCTTTCTTTGGCATTATAACCCCTTCCTACATCCCTGCTATGCTGACAAATACGGAGCAGGTGGAAGACAAGTAAAACGATCCCTGTGATTTATTCTTCCACCTGGATCAGGTATCCAACTAAGCCCTGTCTACCATGTAACCCAGTGGTGTTGCTAGCCATGCTTATTGCTGCCTGGCAAAAAAGGCCTGTCTGCTCCTTCACCACTGCCATATCAGTCCTTTTGATATGTCTAATCATCCATTTCCCTCCTTTCTTCCTTCCTTCATTCCCCAAAAATCACCCAACACCCCAGTCTGGCACATCGGAGCATGGAATAACAAGTCGAGCCTTGGGGCCTCAGAGTCGGATGGGCGCAGAGGGAGGAGCAGGATGGGATTTTCCTGAGTGTCTTCTCTGCCCTGCTCCCCCATACACCTTATCAGGCAACACCAGCTGCAGCAGGAGCAGCCACTGACCTTGGGCAGCTACAAAGGCCAGATCCATATGTGCCGACGTCCTCTCCTCTTGCCCAGCTGTTCTGTGAGCTCCTCAGGAAGGGATGAGCTCAATCTGTCTGCAATTCCTTCCAGCCATTTGATTTATTTCAGCATTAGCATTCGGATCTGTGCGGTCCCAGAGAAGCTCCCCCCTCCTGAAGGACAGACAAGGTGACATCTCATGCTCATTTTCAGATGAGTGGTATCCAGCTGTATGATTCTGCATACAGAAATCACTGCCATTTTCAAAGGCCTTTCCTATGCAGTGATTCCCCACACATGCCCACATTCTCAGTCTCCCACATCTCACATTCCCCGTGCCAGATGCTGCACAGCAAGACCAAAGATATCCTGGTGCCTGGAGCAGCTTCCCTGATCAGGTGGGACTTGCTCCAGGGTTCACTCCATGCCGGTGCCTTGTTTTTAAACCAGCATCTTCCACTCCAGCCCCTGCTGCCACAGAAATAAGGAAGAGCATTTTTTTAAGATGGGCAAATGAGGGATTTTTATTATTATTATTATTTGGGTTTTATTGTGTCTTTTGAATTCAGCTGTATGCCCATAATTTAGAGGGAGGGTCAGGGAACCACCACGTTAAGCTTGGCTGGCCAAGCTGTGAGGAGAGTAATGGCATCATCTAGTGGTCAGGCAGGGCCCTCGCATGTGCATTAAAGCGACCTGGAAGACCTGGGTGTTTTCACACCTGAACTGGGATTGCCCAGTGGAACAAGAACGCTTCTGGACGGAGGGCTGTGCAGCAACCCACCGGAGAGCCCCCGGGAGTTCCCTGGGGTGCTCAGATGCATGAGGGACCTGGCTGTTCCCTGCCACCATGGCTAGTGCCAACGCCTCTAGGAACCATCTCCTTTCCCCATCTCCCTTTTTTTTTTTTTTTAGAAAAAAATCAGGGAAACAGAGAGGTGGACAGTGGAATGCAAAGCCTTTACGTTATAGCTCAGAGTATGGTGCTTATAGCTGAGCACTTCAGGTTAATTTCCTATACCTCCTCATAGGTAGTTGGCCGAGGTTATAAACACACAACTCTCGAACTCCAAGTTAAAGCTTCCTAAGCGGCTTCTTCAGTGTTCATGGGACAACTACAGAAACTGATCCAAGTTAACACTTATTTCATAAGACAAGGCTAGAACAGAAACTCGATGAACTCGCTTCACTAACAGATTTCTCTCATTTTAACCGGAAAAAAATGAGGAACTTTCCACTTCACTCAAAGAACAGGCTCTTGCAGCCCTGCTGGGGTGGAGTGCACTTGTGATTGTTATCTGAGCATGAGTCAGTCCCTTTCTAGAGTAGTGCAGCCTTTAACTCTGCATTTCCAAGGTTTTTTAATGTTTGGTTTAAAAATAAAGCAAAAGAAAATAAACTCTTTCAACCCTGATATTTTGGTACGATTATATTTACTCCAACTGAATCTTAACTTCATCATTGTGCCATTTTTCCTGTGGGATTCAGCTCCTGTTTGTGAAATACTTGATTTATGATGAACTGTTGAAAATTATGTTTAGGGCTGCTGTACAGCTGAGGGCCAGTTGAGCTTTCATTGTTATTACTTTTGGCAGAGCATTTCTTACCTTAAAGACCCTTTGCTGGCTCTCCTTCTCCCTTCCATAAACCCTTGCTTTCTCTAGCACAGTTGTAGTACTTGCTTGGGAAGCACTCGTATCACAACAATGTCAAGAAGACAAGAGAGAAAATATTTACTTTCCTGCATTGAGTGCTGCTGTTCTGGTGATATCCTATTCATTATGCATCTGTTGTGTTTATTTCCCCTCTCAGAGTGCGCTGTTCTGCATTGATTAATTGCAAATGTTTCCTGGTTTCCTCCAGTCCCCGTTGCTTTAATCTCCACAGGCTTCTGTACATTTTGTTTCCCTTCTCCTGTGCCTGCCTGTGGCCCTTGCTGCTGCAATGTCACCCCTAAATGTCATGGCACAGCACCAGAGAAACATCATCCCCAAGAGGCATCTCTTTAGGGCATGCGAAGAAAGCAGTTTGTGTTCAGTTGATTTAGGAAGCCTCCGGCCACTACAAGTCTTGGCTTGGTGTCCATGTTGTGAGAAGAAGGAAGATGGAGAGGACAGAAGTATGTGCCATTTCCCAAAAAGAAAGCTAAGACAAATCCCACTCCTGGAGTCAAGTGTGTCCCAGCACACAGGGTACTGACTGACTGGAGGTGTTGGCAAGGATGTGGGGACACAGAGCAAATTATTATGGAGGATGAGTCAAAAGCAGCATCTATCTCTGGGAAACCTCATTAACTGCTGTTTTTCCCTCTCATGGCAGGTGATGGACAGCTCAATGCCTCTGATCGGGGAGCACGTGGAAGAGGACAGACAGCTTATAGCAGATCTGGTTGTTTCCAAAATGAGTCAGCTAGTCACAACTGCTGGATCTACCCCGTCACCGTTGAGGCCTTGGGTATGAGAATATAGAGACATTTTGGACAAAATGCCTTCCCAGACCATTTTCTTTCTCTCCTGTGAGGGCTGTCAGGCAGTCGCGTGTCTCTCAGAACCATATGGGAATGTACTGGATAGATTCACTCCTGCTTTTTGAAGTTCTCTCTGCAGTGGGTGCCCCTTCCTCTTCTTCTATGTGACTGTGATATCACATTGATACTACGGGTATCTGGACATGCTGTCTTATTAAGCTAAATCCCTTTTCAGATCTGTATATTTATAGGTGCTTGTTACTCCCGACTTCACCTCCACAAACACCAACCCTTGGGATAGGTTTCATTTCAGTCTACGCATCCCTGATGAAGAATTCAGGCTTCCCAAACAGGACAGTGGGAAACTTCTCCAAGAGTTGTTCCATTTCTTACTGCTGGCTTGCTCCTTTGGTGAGGTCCTTCACCTCTTTCATCAGGAGGAGGCTTGACTAAGATTGAATTCATATAGGAACCTCCCATCTTTAACTTTAAGGTGACTCTCTAGGGCTCCTCATGGCACATTCATTTTATATTCCTAGTGCCATATTTCCCAGCTGCAGTTGTGTGGAAATGAAGCACACCAGAGCACAATCTGTGACAGTGAACTGTCTCCAGGTACATGTGTAACACCTCTTTCAGTATCTAGCAGGGATAAGCAGGAGGTTGAGTACAACAGAAATCTGTACAAAAGCAACAGCAGGAGAGTAAGCAGACTGAGGGATAATTCTGACTGCAATGCACTGAAGAAGTTTCCATTTGAGACAGAAAGTGGTGGGATAGGGATTCTCTAACTCTCTTCCTCTGTCATAATGGCAGTCTGCTCCTGCTAAACTATGTCTCCAGCATGAACTGTACTCAGGGTAACCCCAAAACAGGTTTTAGCTTGAGTGAGGAGGTGAACATTTAAAAGATACTGAAAAAGGCTTTAGGGCAGGGAAAACTATACAGAAGGCATAGTATCTTCTCCCACTGAAGTGGAATCAAAACTGCCATCTGAAATGAACAAGAAACAGAGTGTTTAAACTAAGAGCAAAGGCAAAGCTAGCAGATGTATCTGTTGTCTATGTTTGTAGAATACTGGTACAGGATTGGACTGAATTACAGCAGACCTAAAACAGGACAAAAAAAAAAAAAAAAAAAAAAAAAAAGGTCCTGTAGAGGCTGGATGTCAAATAGAAGAGTTAAGTAAAAAAAAGCTCTTCACCAAAAATAAAAGCTAAATATGTCTGTATACAGAATGAAGAAAATAAAAAGCACAACAGTGTAAACTAAACTGTTCTTCCATAGAAAAGACCTGGGTACAACAAGATTACAGGATCTGTGGAAACTGCAACTGCTAGTTTTATGCTGTAAAGCATAGTTACAAATCCACCCAGGGAAATACCTAGGTGGGCAACAGCACTGCAGAGCTAGAGCTAGAGATGAAGAGTTCCACAGAGCTTAGAAAAATAACAGTTCTGAATATTGAGGGCAGCAGTGCTGAATCCATAAAAATACGAATCCTTCGATATCCTATGGGTATCCACAGGATCCCATATGTATTATCAGGACTGTCTATACCAGTCTCTGGAAAAAGGAAAACTGGGAACTTGACAAAGTATGTGCGCAGCATTGAGAGATATGGAAGAAGCAATGAGATGTAACGACGTGAGACTACAGCCATTAAGAAGCAAGTCAAATAGCTCAGTGAGACAGCAATTCTGAGAAAATTTCCCATCTTTTTAGGTGACTGCTTCCTGGAAGAGTAAAATCCAAGTGAAGCAGGAGATAACAGCGTTGGGGAGGTTCAGTTTAGGTATTAGGAAAAATTTCTACACAGAAAGAGTTGTGAAGCATTGGAATGGGCTGCCCAGGGAAGTGGCAAAGTCCCCATTCCTGGCTGTGGTCAAGAAATGTGTAGGTGAGGGACATGGTTTAGCAGGCATGATGTTTAAGGGTTTATGGTTGGACTCAATGATCTTGAAGGTCTTCTATATGATTGAACTATAATGATTCTATGACTTTGTCCCCAAACATGCCCAGGTACAATTCAGGAAGTCAACATGTACTAATAGGTTTGAAATTCAAGGGACAGATGTGATATCAGAAGTAATGATATGACATGAACTATTAAAAGGATAATTTCAGTAAGAATGAGAAAAGTAATCCAAAGCTCCCTAGGATTAAAAGTAAAGCTGTATGGAAGTTATTTAAGAGAACATCGTATTCTGGAAGGCCTATATAAATTTCTGATCTGCTCCTGAACCAAGAATGCAAGAAATAAACTCCTAGAGCTAAGAGGCAAAGTAAAACATTATGTTGAAGACTCACAGGAAAACAACTTCCAAATTTGGAAATCTGACATTTAGGAAGAGCTTTATGCACAATTGTGCAAGTAATAAAAGGAAACTTATAAAGGATAGAATGGATTTTGAAGAGCAAATAGAGGGGCAAATGAAACAAATTTTTTAAGTTTGAGAAGAACCTTTGATAAGGTTCTTTTTTTATGATAAAGAATTGGTGGCCTCTATGGATCGTCAGAGGTTAATACAGAAAAGAAGGGCAACAGAGGTAATGTTGCGACTCTAGCAGATTTAATTGCTGAAAGTGGGGAACTTCTTCAACTAAACACAGTTTTTCTTGATAATGAAGACCAGGGAGTAGGAGAGAGGAAAAAGACAATGATTAAATCAATGATTACTGCTATTTTTTTAAATTATTGAGTCCCCAGACACAGATGGCTACATCCAATGAGATAAATTTAGGAAGCAACTCAGCTGCCAAGAAAAAAAGTGCAATTTCATTAGAAACAGCTATTGCTCCAGCAGACTGGTGTGTAACAAATGCAAAACATGCGTTTATAAAGATTATAAGAGTAATGTGAAAAATGTAAACAAGTAAGTTATGGACCCTACAAGTTACCTCGAAGAATGATTTGAGGAATAATACAAAACACTAATAAAACAACACAACTATGCCTTAAGAGCATCTATCAGTTTTCTTTGCAAAGAGGGACAAGATGCTAATTACAACCTATTTTTTCATGATTACCACATGAAACCTGGTTTCACAGATACGACATGATACAACTGCTGCAGCTTCATTCTTTCCATTTGTTGTTTCCCTTTCAGTGGCACAAACGCCTTGGGCTGACCCTTTTCCTAACTGAGGGAAACTTCCCTAATTTCCTTCATGATTGAGGCTTGAGGGCCAGTTTTGCCGATATGTCTAAGAGGCTTGGGCTGGCTGTAGACAATAACAGCACAGGTGAAGATGAGATCTGAGTCCCCTTCTTTGCCTGGTCTAATCAGGACGTCTCTCAGTACTAGGATAGCAAATTCCTACCAATATCAAGGCAAGGTTTAGTGCGCCAAGGACAAGAGGCCAATGGAAAGTTCCTGGGTTTTCCACCCCATCCATTTGGCAAGTCCTGAATAAACAGTGTACAATGGGCTGGCAATCTCATCCCATTTATGTTAGTCAACTGAAACTCATCTCTCTGCTTCCAACTATGAAACATTTCTTCCCATTTCCAGAATTGCTTAGCTAATTCTCTAGGCAATCCTGACCTTCCAGGAGCCTCAACAACTCCTTTATCATTGTGTTCTCCATGTAAATAATCCAGCACGTACCAGTCTGTCTGTCTCCAACTTCCCTTGCTTTCATAAACAATTTTGTGTAATAGTCTTACTCAGACTTTTGTTAACCTTGGACAGTCCCTCTGTGCAACAATTCTGTGTTGCTTAATCTGTTTATTGAAATATCTGTCAAAAAGGGTAAACAGTAAGAGAGAAAAAAGTGCAGATGGCACCAACTTATTTGGGTTAGTCAGGACCAGGGAGGATGGTGAAGAACAACCGACAGAGCTAGGTTTGTTAAGTCACCTTAACATATTGAAGATTGAAAGGTAAGTTGAACTGAGGGCAGAAAATAGAACATAAACAATCTGTATGCCTTGCACTGTCTAAGCTAACCATACCACTTGTGAGAAAAACTGTTCTGTACAGGCTCAGCCTGTGGTTGGGTTGATACAGGAAGATCAGGGAATTAGGATGCACATGAAATGAGCTGGTGATGCGTATGGAGAACAAAGATACTGCTTCATCTGGAACAACATAGGCAGAACTGCCTCTGACATCTGCGGAAGGAGTCACAAAGCTGGAAACAAAACGTTGGTAATGAAATGATTCGGGGCCTGGAAACATTCATATGGAGATACTGAAGGGATTCAACGTCGGCCTTATAAAGGAGAAGTCCTAGTAAAAGTAGATTGTGAGAACTATTCTCAAAGTCAGAATGAAGCAATGATGTTAAGTGGGAAACCACAGAAAGGAAATGCCTTTTAATTCACCGTGTAATTGGGCAGCAGAACTCATGTCACAGAAGGTCAGTGGAGCTGAGGTCTGGGCACAACTCTAAGGACCTGGATGTCAATATCAAAACAAAGGGCCTGGAGTGTTGCAAAGATTTTGTGGAGCAAATTGTAAACTTCATGTCTCAGGGTTTAAGCTGGTCCCTGCTTATTAGCACTCTAGTTGAGACCCCTTAGGATAAAGAGATGATTACTCCATATATGTAAATTACTCCATGGTTCATTTCTACTTCCTCTGGAACATCTGGTGGTGGCAACTGTTCAAAATGGGAGATGGGACTAAGTGATCCTTGGGTCTGATGCATTTGCCGATTCCTGATTGTCTAATACATGTTTGAGATTGTAACTTCATTGTTATTCCCTATGAGCAAACAGATTTTGTGGTTTTTTTTATTACTCAGCTTTCCACTTTAGTCTCGTGAGATTTTACCAGCCAGATGCCGAGAGTATGTGTGTGTGTATTTATTTAAGGAACATTTCAGGATTCTGCAATTCCTATAGTAATTTCTCTGTGGGGACACTGTATTAACTGAAATGGATTCTTTTCCTCTAGCCTCCACAAGGTCAGCCTCAGTCAGTGAAATCTCAGCCTGGACCTCAGCTTGGACAACTGTCCCAACCACGGCCTCCTCCCCAAGGTACAGTTCTTTAGGATTCATGACAGTGGACTGTTAGAAATATTGGTTTGCATTCTAATTAAAAGATCTCAGGGTCAAGATTTCGCTGATTGTTCCCATTCATCGAGTAATGGGCAGCAAATTCTGTGTGCTGTTAAAACTGCTGCTGCAATATTCCATAGCAGCTCAGAAAGCAGAGTGAAAATCTGATACTGACCCAGTTGATACTGCAGCTAGAGCCTAGCTTAGCAGTGCAAAGCCACCTGAACTGGCACTAGAGCAGGAATTGGGGGAGAGCCTTTGCTTTTGCATGAAGCTGTAGCAGCTCTTAATGTTAGGGAGTGATGGGAAGATGCTGGTGCTGTCAGGCTTGGAACAGGCACGAAGCAACAGGATGTTTGATCCAGCTGACCAGATGCTTCCCTGTCAGGAAGGAAAAGGACACCCCCCAAACCCTCCTGACAGCACAAGCAGGTTTGACTGGTGTGATCTGGCCAGAGCAACACTTTGTTGTCCGAATTGGGGTTGCGTGATGAACTGCAGGGCTGCCTGGCTCCCAGGCCATGCCAAGCTTGTAATTCACATGTCCTACTATCCCTTTTCCTCTAGACACTCTTTTTTTTACCAATCCTCTCAAATAAACATCCATCCCTTATTACTTTTTCCCCATTGGTCCCAGTTTTGCTATGTCCAAAATTTTGTATTTCTGACAATGTTACCCAGTCAATTTTGGCCTTATACAGTATTACTGACATGTTTACCTAGGCAATGTTGGCCTTTCAAGGGCCAACTACCCCTGATGTCCCCACTACTTCCCCTCAATTACCTGTGAAGTTTGATCATTTCTCACATAGCGCCCCTTTGACCACCTGTGAAATCTAGCTCTATCTCTTTACAGTGCTACCTGTAAATTTTGTCAGCTTTTCACACCGATATCTGCCAGATCCAGCAATTTCACATAGCACGTCCATGAGTTTTCCACATCCCGTTCAGTTTAACCCCAGGCCAAGGCCTCACAGTAGCACAGCCTTCGCTTGCAACTTTAGCAACTAGGACTGAGCTGTGTGATCTGATTATTCTTGTCTGCTTCTGTTTGTCAAGAGCGAGTAGCATGTGTGGCTACAGCAGTCAAAAAAATCTACTCCCATCTCTGTTTTGAGGATCTGCTACCAAAACGGCTGAAGTCACTTGCTGCTAATACTGCTGGGATAGATGTACACGTAGTGGATAGGCTGTAATTTCACATCAAACCACTGGCCCCATTTCATTTTCTGCAAAAAGTTTGTTCTGCAGTAACTTCCTCCCCACCGCAAGCAGCGCTTGCCAGGGATAAGAAGGATTAGTTACATGGAAGAATATAGCACCTTGAAGTGTGTCCCTCTGGCAAGAGAGCAGCAAAGAGAAATGGCCTTGCAACACCTCTAGGAATGTGGGCATGTAACTAGTGATAGGCCTGTAAAAGAGGATGGCCCTTATCCTTCCACATGATGCTACTCTGGATAGTTTCTCTCCCTGTTGCTCCATGTAGATACTCTGCTTGTTGTCCACCACATGCATCTCCTCATATCTCTACGTACGCCTCCCTTTCAGGCGGACCACGTCAGCCTCAGGTATCTCAGCCTGCCCGGACAACGGCACCACCACAGCAGCGGCTTTCTCCGCAGGGACAACAGCCCCAGAGTCCCCAGTCCACTTCACCTCAGCAGCAAAGATCACCGGGATCTCCGCAGCAAGTCCGATCCGCAACCGGCTCCTCCCCCGTGCAGGCCTCCAAGCCAGGCGTCTTTCCCCCACAGCAGCCTAGACCTCCTGCTCAAGGCCGGGCCCCAAGCCAGCCGAGCCCCACTGAGGTGACCAAGGGCACATCACCTCTTGTCAGGCAGGAGTCCTCATGGTCACAGACCCTCACTACTGTGAGTCATTTTGGAGGTACATAAGACTGGAGATGATAACACACTGGCCACCACCGAGCTGCTGTCAAGAGGAACAAGCTGTCCTTTACATCTTTAAGATTTCACATTCTTTCTCCTGCTAGGCACTCGCTGATAATTGTGTGCCTTGCCCTTGGCCATGTTAGCGCTGCATGTTAACATGCTTTCCCCGCAGTGCCTACATCCCTTTCAGACTGTGCTCGTCACATTAGTGGCCAGAAAGCTGGACAGGAGTCATTCCTGCACTGTTTGCTGAATGCCGGAGCTGCACAACATTCTTTAGTGGGCAATTTTTGGCAAACAGTAGCAAAATGTTGCAGACTAAACATATACATATATACCCAGATGGTGGCCACATGTTAAAGCATTCTCTTGGGGCAGAATTCACCCATAAAGAATAGTGCAACTTTGGTAGGAGCCTTTGCTGGCACCTCTGGTGGAAGATCTGGTTGTCACTATGGCAGGGAAACTTGGCAAAAAAAAGAAATGTTTGGTGTTGACAGAAAGCACAAGAAAAAAGCAAAAAAAAAAAAAAAAGGTAAAAGCAGGTCCAAACAAAACATAAGCTGGAAATTAGAAGAAAGTTTCTAAATAGCAGAAGAGTGATGTTCTGAAACAGACTTTTGGTGGCGATGCCTACATTTTGGTGGTGATGCCTACATTAGCAAAGCAAAACAAGAGCAACGGATTTATAGATCAAAAAGTTCGTTCCATACTTTATGTATTTCAAGAAGTTTTATTTCAGAGCCTAATCTTGTGTTGAATGCCCTTTACTGATCAGAAACCACTTGGTGACATAAACAAAAAGCTCAGTAAGTGAGGATAATTGGGAGATGTATTTCAAAAGCCCTGCCCCCATCTGAACTAGAAGAGAAGCCCATATGCACCCAGCAGGAGCTGTGGGGCCAACCAGCAGAACTGCACAGCAGAGCTGATGGTCACAGCAGGGCTCACCGGGGTGGGCCAGCACCAGTACACGCTGCAGGGGACGTAGCTTCATATCTTGCCCCTAAAAATTATTGGCTCTCTCAGACATGGGATTCCCCTTGCTTAGCCCTCCTTCTGTCCTTGAATCTGTCGGTGTGGTGGAAGCCAAAGCACCAGTAACCAGCTTTGGACTATTACTTCCTTCTCCTGAGTCTAACTGTCCACTCCCTTTCTTGTTTCAGCAAATCACAGTCCCTGACAAACACCTTCAGCATATCTGAACCACCCCAGCGGGGAAATGCGACTGAAGATGAAGCAAAGGCTGAGACCATCCGCAATCTGAGGAAATCATTTGCTAGCCTGTTTTCCGATTAACAGCCCTGCAGCCGGATCTCTGCTTTTGTCAGCCCCCACTCTTCATATCAGCCTATCCTGATGTCATCCTGAGACATACAGCATGTCCCTGTACTTACAATACCTTTTGTAATAATAGCCTTTGCACAGAGATTTCAACAAATGCCTGGGTAAAGGGAATTTAGAAACCTATAGTTGTTTTAATTTAAAAAAAAAAAAAAAGGAATTCTAGTAACGGTCTGAAAAATGGCTGTATAAAAGTGGCACTATTTCATTGTTCTTTGTGAATACTCGGAATCGCATCTGCTCGTATGACTGAGTTGTAAAGCAAATTTTACTCCTGCTAACCCCTGTGGAGTCAACACGATTCTGACAGTGCAAAGCAGATTTTATTTTACTTGTATATAGTCAATACAATTGTTAACTTGCAATTGCAGAGCGCTCGTTGAGGCTGAGCTAGAAAGAACATAGGCTGATTTCAGAAACAGATTGCAAAGATGATAACGAGCATTCAGTGACTGATAAAGTGAGCATGCCCAAGCATGCAAACAGTGGGAATTGTGGAACTTCCTGATACCAGCTTGATAAAAAGTCACTTTTCAGAGCAAAAATACATTCAAATAGTACGTGGAATCAGGCGTCAGTAAACGCCAAGGATCACATGAGCAGAGCACCCGGATGGACTGCATGTCTGCTCCAGTTCTCTCTGTTCATAGCTGTTAAAATGTCTCTGTTTTGAGCCTTGCAGTTATGTTCCCTGCATGTGATTCTTGAGTTCTGAGAGAACAGTGCTATGTCCTAACCCTGGAGCTCAAAAATAATCTGAGAAATGAACCATCCACACACAAAATCTCTTCCCCTGCCCCCAGAATCACCATGGAGCTCACATCCACAGTTCACACAAATTCCAGATAAACCCAGCTAAACTCCAAGTGCTTTGGGGACTTGGTCACATCTGGTAAACGCGTCCCCCAGGAACATGCACAATTAGGAGCAGAGCTGATGAAGTGCACGTGCTCGGGCGCTGAGTGTTCCATAATACCGAATGGATAGAGGGACGGAGTGAAATCCTGTCTCCCCCCTTGAACTCCCACTGGCTTCCCTGGGGTGAGTGCAAAATGAATGCAAGGTGACAGAGCTGTGACAGAACCGGAAAGCTCGCATTTAGAAATAAGATAAGCCAGGATAGGTCCAATGACTCCAGGCAACGGGGAGGTAACATATCCATATAAACTTATCAGTGTGTGTGTAGTTTAGAGTGGGAGGTCATGCAAAGCCGATGATGATCAGTATTAGATGTCCTTCCTCGCCAACCACAGGGCCTATTCTTCTGGAGAAGTCAGAGATGGAAGAAAAAAACTGTATTTCTTTACCTGCTGTATTTCCTGCAAGCCTCTGATACAGAAAGAAGTAGCATTTGAGCACAAATGGGGACTGGGTCACCATTTTTGGTTTGCAATTTCAAAAACTTGGTGTAAATCAACAAAGTTATGGATATTTTTGCCAGTGGAGAGAATCTACCCCTTGAACTGGGGTAGTTCTCTTTATAACACACCTAATGAAAATACTAGTTCCCATACCACCATCTGACAGACAGGAGGCAAGTCTCTAAGCGGGAGGCAGCCAAGCCTCAATTTTTCTTCAGGCTTTGCCATGTAGTTTAGTCACAAACTGTGCATGCAGCTTCGAGGCCAGAGTTTTGGCTTTGCAACTCCCCTTGGGTTATTCTTAGGAGTACCAATGGAAATAAGTTAAAATAACTTTCCAGCCAACAGCACAGATCTTTGCTGTCACTTGGATGGGGAGATCCCTAAAGCAGCAGCAACAGCAACGTGTGCCATGTTGGACTTCACGGATCATGGTGGGAATGAAGCCAAACAAGCAATTTCTTTCTGCACAGCCTGTAATGAATGTCTACATCCAATCTGGACACAGCATAACCTACCCCTGAACAGGCCATCACACATAAAACAGCTTTGCGACCTGTGCACTTCCAGGCAAGAAACTTCATAGCTTTTCCAGGTTGGAAGGCTCTTGAGGGACTCACCTGGATAAGTGATTTATATCTCAAATTAAAAGAACCAAATTAAAGAACCACCTTATTCCCCGATGAATTTTCTTTCTTTTCTTTTTTCTTTTTGGTCTATGTTGTCCTTCCAGACTTACTAAGCGGTTTACAATGTAGCATCATAAATACATGCCATTGTATGAGAAAGAAAACAGACCCTGCTGTTTCGCAATCTCCAGGAGCAATAAAAGAGTGACAAATGGCCCTGAGCAAACACTGTCCCACTGGCAGGAACAATAGCAGATTAACAGGCTCCACTATGTGGAGAGGAGGTAATACAACCCTGGTGGGAGAGGATTTCCTTCTGTAACACTTCCCTCAGCACAGCTTATCCCTTCCTCTGCTAAATGTTTGCAGGATACACCAGGGATGCAGAGGAAAAAAAAAAAAAAAAGAACAATTACCAGAATTCTCAGTTGCTCCAGCCTCCAAACCTTAGGTCTTTCTTCCTAACGCAATCCATAAAGAAATAATGATGAGCTTGGCATGACTCTTTAAAGCAAGCCCAATCTATCATGGGAAGCACAGCGGCCGGCTCACTTGCTGATGCTGCAGCTGAGCCCGGTCGGGCTCTCCTCCAGCTGACCCGTGCAGCAGGACAGCCGGGCTGACGTGATGCCCAGCAGCGACTCGCACCTCCTCAGTGCTGCATCTGCCTGCAGCTCCAGCTGCCATCTCTCCAGCAGCAAGCAAACAGAAGGACATCTCCCCTCCTGCCAGCTCAGGCTTGCAAATACAAGTAAAACAAAATTCCACCATCAACTCAACTTGGCTACTCCTATGGCCCCTGAAAAGCATCTTCAGTTCTGCCAACAAAAATACTTTAATGAACGCACTGAATTCCTAAGTCAAAATTATGAAACTCCCTGAAGGGTCTGATGTTGAGGAAAAGATGTTCCAAGAGCACAACTACTTCAGTCTACACCTGTGAGCTCCACACTTCAGATGTTGCAGCTAGCAGGAGATGCACAAATGCAATATCTGCTGCTTGAGTTATTGTCTTTGATGCAAACTTCCTCTTCCAAAACCCCTGCAATCTAACAAAGCAAAAGGGGTGAATACAAAAGGCTTTGACTCCATTTTATGAAAGAGGAACTGAAACATATCCATAAGGTATTTAAGTACCAAAATATATCATTTGGAGTTAGGTGGGGCAGTAAGGGGGCAACAGAGAAGCTGGTGAGTAGAAATTGCATTTAAATCACAGTGCAGACATGCTCTGTGGTAGGCCTCAGGGTTGTTGTCCCACAGCTCTCAAAACCACAAACCTGGGCAGAGCACTGGGTCTTTCTTTGTCCTGCAAGGTCAAAATTTCTTTATATGCAGATCAGGAAACAAGGATGGAGGAGTGCATGAGGATCTGGCCCAAAGAGCTGGGACACAGCTGATACCCCCTCCCATTCACCACCTGGGAAACAAAAGTCTCCAGTTTCCTGGTTAGACACAGACTAAGGAACATCGTGACACCCTTACAGTATGGAGATGTGTATTTCAGAATGTACATCACTCATGCTCCCATGCAGTTAAAAGTCTTGTTTAAGGTTAAGACTGAGAAGAAAAACCCTGCTCTATTAATTGCAGTTATACCATTTTCAGGCACTTCATTTTTTGTGGTTTCCTCTTCAGCAGGCATCACAAGTGACAATGACACATACACCTGCTTTAACAGCTGGCAAATTATCAAAGGAAGTAACTTGTAGGCATTCCCCTGCTTTGTCATCTAATTCTCAACTGTGTGTGTCCATGAGATGTGCAAATTGTATTTTCTATCTTGTTTATGACTTATTAACAAAACTGTTTAGGGAACTGGACAGCTGACTGGACTGAACAATCAGACTTTTTCATCTTTGGCTCACAGTGCCTTTACCAAAACACAAAAGAACCCAGTAGAAAGAAAATAAAAAGAAGAAATATCTGCAGGTAACTCAGTGGGGTCATGATAAACAAACATCCAGTGATAAAATCCAGTTTAATCTGAACTCTATGGCAAGGAGAATGACCCAATTGCCTACAAGGCAGAAAGTGCCTGACTCCCAAGCAGCACAGAGCAGTGATGTGGATGTTATCAAGGCACTAGCAAGGTGAGGTTACCGGTGGTACCAATGCTACACCTGAGATTAACACGTCTCTCACTATGCACAGACATAATTGTTCCCAGAAATAACTTGAAAAAGAGAACGAGCTGCAAGCAGATCCTTTTGCTAATTAGTGTGCCCTTATGAATGTTATGCGTGCATTTCTGAAGCACTGGTGACAAGGAAGAAAGGTTCAACACCAGCGCAGCCCAGACTTCCCTCTTCCTTTTTAGAGCCAGTGGAATATAAAGAATCATGCGAGAGCTAAGGGACTTGATTACACTTCACTTCAGTGAAAACTGTACTAGAATAAGACAATAGACAATTTCACTAGTACAGGTATATACTAAAAACTAAGGCTAGTCTTGGTACTGAAGGGAACCTGTATCCTCAAATTTTATAGGTGCGTATCGTTGTTATTCTTTATTAACAACAGGATTTGCAGGGGCATGCATTACTGTGATACAAGAAAAAAGAAATACAGCTTTTGACAGCAAAATATTATGTTCGCAAAGACAATTGACAGAAAACAAGATGAATTGCTGAAATATGACCTGATCAGTAATCCTGATCAAAGAGCTTGTATTTCATAGGATATTTCCTACTTCCACTACTTAATTATTTCCTAAAATCCTTTTGGAATTCAAGTATCAGCTGTCACAACAGTCATCAGTATCAACTACTTTTTCAGAAATAGTGAGATCAATCCGTATTAAAAAAAAAAATGAAAGAAACAAACAGCTCTAGCAAAATTTAGTCATGCCAGTTTTCCTTTAATTCAGCTTCAGCATCAGGCTGCAGGTCCCATTAGGACCCTTTACCAATGGTCTTGTTAGTAGTTCAATAGTTAGTAAGAGAACATCTGCAAAGTGCTGACAACACATTAAGACACGTTGCTTTCTGGCAAGACAGATTTGGACACCGCAGTAATGAAATTAAATGCAATTCACTGTAGTGAAGTGAGAACCTGCTCTGCCTCTCCTGTTGTAACCATGTTTCCACTTCAACCAGGCCAGCCTCCTCTCTGCATTAAGTAAGCTAGGAAGAAAGATTTTTTTTTTTTTTTGCACCAGTTTTAGTTCTTATATAAAAATGCAGTCATATACTACAGCTCCTTCTTTGCAAGGGAAATCTGTCCAAAAAAGGAGAAACACAAAAGTTTTGCTGCTGGTTCTTCGCAATATTGCTTCTGTTCAGACTTTTGAGTTGCACTATAGCATGAGTTTACTCAGTTGTTTGTAAAATGAACTGCTTTGTGTTTTATTATATCCATTGTAAAGAATATCCCTTCCCTGTATTCATTGTGTATTAAGTATCAACAAATAATGCTTTTTACCTAATAAAATACAAAAAGGAAAAAGCAAATGTCATCTTTGAAAAATTTTACAAACTCAAATCTACCAGTGTAACAGTGGTAGAATCATGCTTAATGTAGAACACAGTGATTTTTTGGTTAAGATTATTAGGCAGATGGAGTTGAAAAAAATCATTTGCACTGACCAGTTAACAAAATTCCTGAAATAAGACAGACAAATGTAAGATTTGTATTTAAAGTGCTCTTTATCTGATGCAGCAAACGTTAGGCCAGTAGCCTTCTGGTCTCTAAGTAGCACTTCACAGATGATTAGAAAGAAGAGGAAAAAACAAACAACAACAAAAAAAAACAGCACAAACTGTTCCAAGTCACAAATCTTCACCAAATAGACCTGAGTGCTAGATGGTGCAGCACCACCAGAGCCCCAACAGCCTTTGTGGGCGAGACATAACCACGCACACGTGCTCTTGCCACAATGTGAAGTGAAGGCAGATGTTAGTGCCTGCATTTTGCATTCTCCTGCAGTTAGAAAGCAAGCCCAGAAACCAGAAAACCCACTGAAGGAAGAAGTAGCAGTCAAATGAACGCACGGCGAATGTCCATGGGGCGGCCCCGACTCGGTCTGGGTGGAAACCTCTCACTGGGAGCAGCTCGTCCTGGAAGCGTAGGGTTTGCTCCGGGCAGGGAGCCGATGGGGTCAAAGTGTGGTCTGAACGGGGGAAACTGGCCTGGTGCTTCCCCCGGGCCAGGAATGAGAGAGTTAATGGGGTCTCCAGCATATGGAAGTGTTGGTCTCTCATCGTACTCTCCACCAATCATCATTGGAGGATAAATCGGATTTGATGGGAATGGGTTGGGAGGAAAGGGATTAGGATAGAATGGGTTGGGATGGAAAGGAATTGGATGAGGTGTCGGGGGCAGAAACATCGTATGCCTCCATCTCAGGGCGTCCTTCTTCTGTTTCAATTTTTTCTTGTACAGCTGCAGGCAGAAACAAAGGTAATTTAAAGCTCTACAAGTGCTTTGTGTTCCAACTGCAGCACTTGTGTCCAGTTCTCTAGCACTGCTCAGAAAAGCCCTCCTCACTGGCGTCAAAGCCCAGAACAGTCCCACTGTCTCCTACAGGTGCCTCTGGAAGACCCCGCTCCATGATGTGAGCATGTCCTGTATGACTTTGATGGCATTTTCTCCTACTCTGAGCAAAGCTACTATATACACACAGAACACCACACAGCTTTAAATTAACTCACTGTCACTGCCTCCCAAAAATCTAAACTTTATACTCAAACTAGTCCATTGAGACAAGCGTCAGAGAGATTATATGAAACAGACACCTACTTCTTTCCAGTCTGTGTCACGAGGCCTTGTAATAGGATCTATGAACAGAAGCAAAAATTAAGAGGAAGAATTTCATATTTTTCATGTAGCATTTATGCCAAGCATACCCACAAAATTAGCTTCTGAGGCACCTCTTACCAAAATGCATCAGACCAGAACCCTCTTTACATAGGAATGTGATCAGTGAATATGCGTGTCTCAACATTACCTCGAAAATCTCGCAGATACATAAACCTCCAAAGAAGTTGGTCATTTGAAGCTGTGTAAAGATCACGGCAAACGGCAGAAAGAGAGATGAGCGAACGGACATCCAGAAGTCTGAAAATTCGAAGCTTCAGCTCAAGAGGAAGGACCACTAACCCAAACACGTCTGGCAAGTTCAGAGCTACAAAGTGGAAGAAGCAAAAGCTTTACCTATAATGGTGTGGAGTTTATCTCTAAAAACCCTAGAAGAAGCAAAGGACATTACAGCCTTTCACTTAAATCATTTCCCTTTGCTGCCTCAGCTGCACCAATTAAAAGTTACTGGGAGGAGACTTCTTATAGAACAGATCTCTTACAGCTCTCTGGGTATTTGCGCAGTGTATAAAATAGGCCAAATGGCACCTTATAATGAACATTATTGGTCCTTGTAAGTGCAAGAAGCATCCCACAACTCTGATCTTTACACTACAGAACAAAGGCGGGAAGAAATAAAGGAAAAGAGGAAAAAAAAAAAAACTCAATTTCACTAATTCCTTAAAAATGCATTAGATAGAAAGCATATGCTTGACATGATCTCCCTCTAGACTTCACTGTGAAGAAGTTTTAATCGAGTTGTCTTCTGCAGAGAAAGCCAAGAGCTCTTATAGCAATACCTATGCTGGGACAGCTGGACTGCTTCATAAACACCAGCCTGGGTTGCTTTCTATCATCCTTTCCAAGTCCTCAAAGATTAAGAACATAATTCCCAGGGGTTAGACTTTGAAATAGGCACTTTTTCCTATATTTTTCAAATAAACTTCCCCCCCACCTCTACACTGATAGAATTGAATGAAAACTACAGAATTGCTGCCAATGAATTACTGTGCTATGATGTCCCTCAATATCCGGTGTAGAAAACAGCCATACACCACTTCAGTCTATTGAGTGAGATTAGAAAAAGCTTTTCGTCATCAAATTCAATCAAAATGAAAAGCTAGAAATAATTATTATAGTAAAACCTTGGAAACAGGAATATTAATCTAATTTATTTAGAATGTTTATCTCCATAATCTTACTCTTTATATTCCCAGCACTGAACAGCTGCTTCAAACACTTTTTCCTTGAGACTTTGCACAAAAAACCCTCTTTCCATCCTCAGGAAAGAACTACCAGCTCAAATTCTAAATATTTTATCCTACCTTGTCGGGCAGCAGCCAGAAGAGAGTACACCAGCTGGTCTTTGAAGAGACGAGATAACTTCTGAAGGTCTTTGTAAACCCCTGCAACCTTTTCTATCAAAAGAGAAGTAAAAAAATAAATAAATAAATTCAGAAGAATATGAAAAAAATAAGCCAAAGCGGATAGAAATCTGCTTTCTTCCCACCTCCTTTTCCCCCACCCCTGTTAATCGTGCAAAACTTTTGCAAATTGGAGTTGTGCCTTTAAGAAAACAGCAGTCTATCTTGCTTAAAATTTCTTAGTAGTTCTCTAGATTAGAGAAGTATGCAGTTACAGAATCATAGCCTTGGAACAATAACTCAGCAAGAAACTACACAGCAGTTCCAAGGTCAGAAGTAGCCTGGGCTTTCCTTTGGCCAGAAAAAGCACCATTATGAAAAAATACTTGAGTTGTTCAGAAACAAACTGCCGCTCATACTGTCAGAATGTCTTATCAGATTTCAAAGCCCATGTGTAACAAGCATCTATGCTGCAAACTCCTAAAATACATTTTCTTTACCCAACCAGAATCTTTTTCCATCCTGTCCACTGAAGCAACAGGAGCCAGAAAGTTCTAGGGTTGTCTTGGAAACATTTCAGCGCCCAATTATTCTACAGCCTTTTGACTGGCCGAGCACATCAGCAACAGGGAGGACAGTGTAGGAAACAGTCAGCATCAACTGGCAACAACTCGACTCACGCACACTCGAGAGAACAAAGGGCTAGTCAGGTCTGGGTGCACAAAGGGTCCATATCCATCTGCCCTTCTCTCCTTCCCTGCCTTAGTTTTTCTCTCATTTTGGCATTCTGGAGAGACTTATGTAGTCAGCAATATATTCCAATGAAAAAGAACATCACCAATATAAAAAGGAATATAAAAATATAATGACTTTATGCCATAACAAGAGTGTAGGATTGCCCAAGTGCATGCAAAAGGGGAGTATAATCCTGCAGTGCTGCCTCAGATTCACATATCTGTTTAGGAGCTCATAAATAACATGCATCCGAGCCAAAAGATGACTCAAACTTCAGAAAGTTCTTCGCTTACTCAACTAATGCAGGAAATTCAAACTGTTTTAACAGTTAGGTGTGAGTTAATGGCTACACTCTGAATTCCTTCCACTACATAGCTACGTCTCACCTAAATTGTACCACCTTTTTGTCATCTTAAACGATTTAGTCCTTCAAGTACATCCTTCCCTGTTGTGCCACTCCCTTACATTTCAGTCTATACTTAGAAGTCTTACAGCTCTATCATACCTGGTTCCTGAAAACAAACAAAGGATGTTGGCAATAGCTGTATTCTCTTCACACCTTTAATCTCTTTGTTGATTTTTAAAGTTCCTGGAAAAATAAGAAAAGGACATTTACAAATTAAAAACCACATCGACAGATAAAGACCACTTCACTTTTGCCTTAGCCTCAGGCAGATTTTTTTAATTTTATTTTCTTCCATCCCTAGCTCACCCCAAGGAGAAATACCCAACTGTAATAAAGTAGCTGGACAAGTAAAATTCCGGGATTAAAAAAACAAAGTGGAACTTAAAATATCCGAGAAGAAACAGAGGTCCTGATAAAAGTGTCCAGTGTTGCCTTCAACAGTTCTATGACATGAAGAGATACGTAACGCTGCTAAAAGTGGGGCACAGAGTGCTAATAATATAACCAAGACATGAAAGGAACATTAACTCCAATACTTCGAACTCTACTGTTGAAGGACTGAACAACCTTACTACACGAATGCTACATGCAGGGGAATTATAATAACATCTGAAATTTAACCCCAACTTGTTTAAAACATTTAATCCTAATTTTAGAGACCAAAATGTGTATGTGTTCTGAGAAAAAAATATGTGCTTAAAACAAATGAGCATAATCAGTTACAAGTTTTACAAATAAGTTTACAAACTTTACTAAACAGATATTCTGACATTAGAATGAAGTCCCAATTTAATATCAGTTCTGCAAAAATAAGAATGAAGCAATATTTTTTTTTAAAGCAAAACCAATCTGAACTTTTCCAGTTGAAAAATTTTAACTAAATACAGCTTATGAGACCACAGTCAGAGAGCTTCAGAGAACAGTCAGAGACTTTATGAGCTTCAAGACAGAGAAGCATTGCAAAGAACATGATGAGAAAAATTCCATCGCTGGAACAAATCTATCTGTTTTAATATTCAGCAAGTCCTTATGAAATGAGAAAAGAAAACGATTTGTTCCAGCGATGGAATTTATCTGTTTTAATATTCAGCGACATCTATCAAAGTCCTTATGAAATGAGAAAAGAAAACAATTTTTACAACATTACAATGAAAAGGCCAGCTGAATCCCCCACGCATTGTTCTGTATAGTTTCGAGGAAAAGAAAAAGTTAACGCACAGGAACGCCAAAAATATTCAGTGTAATGTAGTGGCATCTCTTTCACCTCAGTAACCTGAGGGATCAAGGTGCAAAATAGTTTTAAACACTAATTGCAGCTTCACTTGCTAAAGAATGGTGACTGCATCTAGGCGCAAAAAAAAAAAAAAACCACAAAAAAAAAACCACAAAAAAAAACACACACAAACACACACCCACCATCACAAACTTACCATTAATGACGACAAGATCTCCCAAGGGCACACAAGTCAACCCAGCCGTACCCTCCTCACAAAGGGGATGTGTGTACTGCAGCTTATAAACACCATTCCCTCTCCATTTCTCCGGCATGGACACTGCCTTGGCCTCTGTCCCCTAACAACACACAGAAACAACACTGCCATACCTGAGCAGGGTACCAACACTGAGGGCAAAAAGAGGATTAAACGTTCAGAAATGCCACAATTACACTTGCAATTTAAATTTTATTTAATCTGACCATACATTATGATATATAATTGCATTATTATGTACTATTTACCTGATGCCTCAAAGCAAGTCTAAGGAAAAAAATCAGGAATTTGGGTTTTGTCCCAGTTTCTGAAGGGGAAGGTTACATACTAGACAGACGTAAGGCTGAGTTTTTTTATATATAAAACATACTTTTTAAAACAGTGCGATGAAGAAAGGACAAGGGAGAGCACGTTCTGGCAAGAGGAGAGGTACCTTTGTACCTTCTTGTACTTGATGTTCTTGTTTGGAGTTTTCTGTGAGTCCAGAAGCACTGAATACACACACTCTCTGATTCTATCATTAAATCTGAGCAACATCTATACAGTCTCAACAGTAGAGAGCAGAAACCGGAGGTTATCTGCTGGGTCCAGAGACGTAAAAGACAAAAACATGAAAATAGGCCTCTTCTCCCATACCTAAAGCCTGCACTTCAGCTTTAAGTCATCCTGGTCAGGCAAATTAAAGAGGTTGCTCCTTCAGCAGCCCCTGCTGCCAACTGACACACAGCCCAAAGGAGAGCTTCAGGTAAGTTCTGCACCAATGTTCTAATGATATTCCAAAGCTTTCTCCCACTGACCAAGAAGTTCCCTGTCTGACTGTGCACATACCTGAGGCACGTAGCCCGCCTCCATCATGAGAAGATGCACGAGAACGATCAAGGCATCGGTGGCACTGCTGCACTCTGCAGAGTGGTATAGCGTTTCTAAGGAGTGGGGTATTTGACCATCAGCAGCTTCACTGCACAGCATGGGTTCTGAGGGATAGCAACCTGTGCCTTCCTCCAGATCAGCATCCTCTGGGACTAGATCAGAAGCAAATTCTAGACTGGATTTTTCCTTAAAGGTAACAAAAACAGACATTCATTCAGAAAACTACATCTCGTTATACATGAAATGATTCCTCTGCCTACTCCAGTCTTCTGGAGCACCAAATCAATGCTGCAGACTTCCCATACAATTTACTCACTTTACCTTCATTTACTAGCATTCCAGTTGCCAAAAGGGATTATATAGAGAGGCTTTGTCTTTTTCAAATATTTATAACACAAGACTTTCATAAAAGAGTCAGTCATTTTATTGCATATTATTATTTGAATACCAATTGATAACAAAATATTAAAACTTCAGGAGAACCCCCTCAACACATGTAGGAATAATCTACTCACTGTGGACTGTGGCATCGCTATGTATTTAAGCAGAGCCAATGTGTATGGCAACTACCACAACGACAACTCAGACTCCTTATGACCACCTGTGAAACTTCCCTTCTCTCAATAACAGCAATGCCTGCAGCAATTAAATACAGTTTTTAAAATTGCTACAGGATTGGGGGTTTTTTGGGTTGTTTGTTTTCGCTTTTTTTAAATAACACTTGGCTGCCTGAAAATCTCTCAATTTTGGAAGAAGACCTGAGACTTCCTCATCTTGCCTCCAAATACTGAGATAAACAGAGATTCATGCACAGCTGAATGTGCTCTGACAGGCATGAACAGTTTGCCTGCTTACAGTTACATGTAAGGGCTATTTCTCCTGATAGGAATGAATAGAACACTGGTCTCACTGCATTCTCACCTTATCCTTTATTTCCATACTTTAATAAAAATTATTATTGTAATTAAATTTTAAAAATATAAACTGTAAAAATTACAATATTTTAAATTATGAAAATTGGAAATTAAAAGTCTATTACAATAATTGTAATTTTGTAATAATTGTAAATTATTGTAATTATTATTCCAATTATTGTGATTAACATTTTAAAGCATACTTATGAAAACTTCTCATATAAAGGCTGTATTAAGGGATGGTGTGTATCTGAAATTAGTTCCAAAATGGACTACTTGCTTTGAAAAAATGCAGTAAAAGCACTTCTTCCCAAGTTCTCAAGCTCCCCGCTAAAAAGACAGGATTCTATAATGAGACAGGTCATGGCACTAGGCTGTACCTAGAAAGTCTCCTCCAAGAAAACTTCTTCCTAGACAGGACTCCTTTCAGTAGTTGGTGGAAGCTGTTATCTGCTTAACTACTGTATTTATTGTCTATGTAATTGGGAAAAAAAAAAAGAAAAACATGATAAATCACCCAGAAGATGCACCTATTAGCTGCATCAGGCACATGGGGTCATATGCGTGTGTATTTGTGTGCATGGGAGTTCTCAGCAACACAAATTCCATGTACAAGCCAGGCAGATATTCTCTTCTATGACAAGCCTCCTGAATCACAGGGAACTGTTACAACTGTCACAACTGTTACAACAATTGTTACAAGCAAGCGGTAATTCAAACAGGATGTATTTATTTCATTGGTATCTAGAATCAGTTTGGTATCTAGAATCAGTTGCTTTGAGAAGTCAGTACTGAGTTAAGCAAGAAACATACTCCTAACTTCCTTAACGAAAGCACAGCTCCAGAAAAAATGTTAGATCCGAAACATCGCAGAACCTCTGAGCTAACTTCTATGGCATAACTAGAATAGAAACAAATTTCCAGCCAAACAACCAGCTACACATTAAGAACCGAACATTGTAAAAATGTTTTCTACTAACAAGTAGAGCAACTGGCTCAATAAGATACCTCCTTTCTCACTCTGTGTTGTACAGGTTGATTCTTACTTACCTTATCATCATCATTCCTTTGAACTTCTGCCTGAACTTTCTGGTTGTCAGATAGTCCCCCATTCTGCCTTTCTTTTGGGCTGCTGGCCTGACTTTTCTTGGGGATCGAGGTGGACGGTTCTTGACCATTCTGGAGTGGGGCAGGAGTAGAAGATGAGGGAGGAGGTGGACTGGGTTTTGCAACTGCTTCTTCTAGCAATAAACATATCAAATCACCAGAAACTATCCCATAGGAAGCCAAGGTCTTCTCATCTTCTGTGAGAGCATCCTTGTTGTTCAGAGTTATTGAGAACTGTGTGTCAACACTGCAAGGTAGTAAAAGCGAAATAAGTGGTCAGCTGTATCTGGGTAACTGTACACAGAGGTATGGTTAAGAAATGCTTACTGCGTAAGTACTATTCTACAGGTTTTTATCCATTAATAACTAGGCATGGGGAAGAGTGGAGGAAAAATTAAGCGCTATGATATGAAGCAATTCCCCCACTTTTGTCCTTAAGTGTGTTTTAAATTGCTGGAAGTTGTTTGGTGGACATAACCTAATATGCAATAACTGTACACAAAGCACATATGAGAGGAAGCAAACAGGTGCCTTCCGAATTAAAACACACCAAACGCGGCAAATCGAGCTTCAAACAAACCACTGGCTCAGATTACTTAGAAGGGGATACTATGGCACACCAACTACTCTGCTTTACGATTAAAGCGCTTCCTTCAAACAGCTCGGCAGCTGCCCTCCAGCAGGGCAGCTCCAAACGTCAGCGATGGGAACATATTTGGAGAAGAAAAATACACAAACACTCCTTCCACCCCCGAACCACGTGGCACGGCCCCGCCGGCCCCGCGCGCGCCACCCCCC